TAAAAATTTCTTATATTTTGAGCATCTGATATGAAAAATGTCTGAACTGTTAATACTTTTAACTCGGAATTCATGCCTTTCTAATTTAAATACCGATGTTTTTAAATTCATAAATATTTTTAGGAAATGCCATTAAAGTCCCATTAGAATATACCTGATGCGGCATTACTAACAGTAAATAAAAACAAATAATGTCTTTTCAACAGAAACTTAGTTTGCGGCGTATTTTCTACTTGGAAAAATGAGTCCACCAGATTTAAATGATAGAAATATTGCTGTGAATTTAGATTAGAAATGACTAATAGTCTATAAGAACTACTTAAGGCAGAGATCATGTGTTCAATTCCGCAGAAAATGGCCCAATATTTACGGTTGGGTAGTACATTAGCAGCAGAAGACATCGTAAATAAAGGTGTTTTAACCGTTAGAAGTATGAAGAAGGCCATTAAGACCGTTCTATTAAGACATCTATTCCTTGCAGTAAATTACATTATCAGGCTCTAGTGACATCCATTATATACATATAGCACCTGTCAGACGTGATATATACGCAAAAAACTTTAAACATTAATTTTTTTAATTCACAAGAAATAGGGTCATTCCCATTTCAGCTCGTTTGATAGTTGTGTTAATCCAGTGCAGTTTAAGTCTGATAGTTAAGACTGTTAGTTGTGTTAATCCAGTACACTGTACTGGATTAACACAATTGAGTACAGTTTAAGTCTGGTAGTCATGTTAATCTAGTACAGGAGTAGAGTCAATCCCATTTCAGTTACCGGGTAGTCTGATAGTTGTGTTAATCTAGTACTGTTAAAGTCTGATAGTTGTGTTAATCCAGTACAGTTTAAGTCTGATAGTTGTGTTAATCCAGTGCAGTTATATCAATCCCTTCCAGTTCTGACAGGAATAATTACAGTCATAATTATTTCAGTTAAATTAAAGAAACATTAAAGGAGCTAAATCGCTAATATTTCGGACCTAGAAATTGACACAAATAGGTCGCAACGCATATGATAATGTAATATGAATATATTAACTGATTTACATTCAGTTGTTTCCGTTTTTACTCTAATTTCAAAACAATTTTGTTCGGCGAAAAACGCCAGAAGTCTCAATCAAATGGAAATATCTAGCATCTGGTTAATTGAGTCTACACTGATAGTATTCATTGCGCATGCTCTCCATATAAGAATATGAAGTCACCGTTCGACATGACTTGTGGAATATGTCTAGCCTCATTCTTCAAGTCCTTGTTACAAATGACACTGAAACGCATTATGGTACACGATTCATGTACCGATGGTAAAATGTTTATTTTGTCTTGAATATTGGATATCGGAAGCCTACCCTTTCCCGGTAAGATCACAACATCAATGTTGATTTAAATTAACAAATAATTCGTGTTTTCGATGTGGAAGATTTTGGATGATATTGAGTTAGAGACTTAGCTACTTTAACACTTTGTGGTTCTTTACCCTGGTTTGTAAAAAATAGTTAATTTCACATGATTTAAGTATGTAGTTTAACATATTTTCATGCCATTATAAGTCACCCATGAGCGATCATACCACTGAAAAATGAAATTCCTGAAAAGAGTTACATAACCCCGATAAGCAAATTTTCACACTATTTGAGTTTGATTTCCACAGTAAAACGCACATTTATTTACTGTGAACGGGGACTGTCCTTTAAATATTAAAGAGAAAGACAAATGGGGTTTAACGTCCACTCGGCACAAACTAGGTCATTTTGGGACTAACATGGTTCAATTTTATTTCAATAATTCACTTGTGCGTAGGGGTCTTTAGCAGTGGAAAAAAACGGAGAACTCGCAGAAAACCCATGAGGTTGAACAGGCAACCCTACTCCTTGTCCAGGGAATCAAAACCACGCCAGTTGACTCAATGACAGACCTTAAAATACAGCGCGCACATGTTAACCATACGGCCATCCAACCCCCCTAAATATTAAAGAGACTACTGTTCTATTCATGTATCTACTGCTGGCTGCGTAACAACAAAAATACATACTTATGGAACAACAGCTTCGAAACATCGCCTTAAAATACACTAGTAGCTGTTTTTCCATAAGTATGTATTTTTGTTGTCACTCTATCCAGTTACTAAATGCCATTTAAAGATTTTAAAAAGAGATCTAGTTTGATCTATAACATCGCTGTTAAAACTGCTAACATTGTTCAAATATTTTATTACATGATTCTATGGTCTATCTAATCTGAATCTATCTTATCCTATTGCCAAATATTCACCACAAAATACCAACACCTGTTAATTGATAAGAAAAAAATGGAAATTGACTTTATTACGCAGAATTCACAGAATTTATTTATAAACAATCACCAAACAACACAGTACGGATATAACTTTATCCTGCCAAATTTGTAATATTTATTTGTCGATAAAGTTTGGATAGGGAGGAGTTAACAGGAAATACATATTATTTTGCACCAAAGTGCATACATGTATTGATAAACAGTTTTCATACAAAATAGGCAGACACAAAACCTGCATTAAAAAAATACGAACTAATTTAACCCCAGCAGAATTTACACTCTTCACATGATAAAACCATAGACCAATCTGATTAAAATATGAACTATATTTTGTTTTGTTTTTTTATACTTTCGATGGCCTACACACACAAAGATCTGACAAGTTGTACTCAAAGGTCGTGTCAAGGGTTGAATGAGCGGCTTTTGACCCTATGACGTCAGACATTGATTAATCAATCAGCGTTGACATTTCTAGTGGTTTACCCACAGTTCCGTGCATAGCACGGAAGAAAGTCGCCGTAACAGACCGTTTCATTGGCTTATCCCTCACTTCAATCAAACTGCCAGTAATATAACAACTCTTCCAGATCCTAGTGTAGTAAAGACAAGTAAAACAAAATTTTGAACTATAAAAACGAAACGATAGAGTGAGAGGAATGGGGTTTAACGTCCACTCGACATAAACTAGGTCATTTCGGGACTAACACATGGTTTAATTTTATTTCAATAATTCGCTTGCGCGTAGGGGTCTTTAGCTGTGGGAGGACCCGGAGAAAACCCACGAGTTTGGAAAAACGAAACGAAATAGGATCTGTGTTTTAATCAGATTGACCATAGGGCACCATAAATTTTTGTTTGAGGATTCATCAGATGAAAGAGATGTTAATTTGTTGGTAAGAAAGTAAATTGGAAATAAAATGAAATGGAGTTTAACATCCTACTTTTCTTTGTAATGGAAATTTTTTGTACAAGTCAGTCCATTCTTCATGAAGTTTTATTTTTTCTCTATTTGTTATATTCGGATATGCTTTTAGCCTAACCCTAACCCTACAACTAAAACTGCATAATAATAGCAACAAAATTTTGTTCAGAATATTTTCAATACATTTGTTTTCATTATCTATTTTTTTTTAACTATCTTAGCAAGACCGTGTAGCTCTTATTTAAATCTTACATAATGCATATTTAAAAGAGGTAAGTAAGCGCAAAACCTCTTTTTTTTAAAAACAGTGTTAATTTGATCCCAGCTGAATTCATACAATGTATTTTATAAACAGACTTCAAATAAAACTTTTAAAAGAGAAAATACACTAAATCTCTATTTTAACCAATTTGAACGGACAAAACATATTTATAAGACTCTTCACATGAAATCCAGACTTCCAACTTTTCATAAGGATCCTCATTTTATCCCAACGGAATTTACAGAACGTATTTATAAACAATCTTTGCATGAAAGGGGTAATACAGTAGACTTCCATTTTTTATAAGGAGCCTAATTTCATCCCCAGAGGAATCCAAACAACTTATAAATAAACATAAAAGAGAGAAAAAAAGTCAGTCATTTTTTTCGGATCTTATATTACAACTAGCAGAATATTTCAAAGAGAATGCACAAAACACCTGTCTTTTATTTTGGTGGAAGAAAAAACATATTTAACTTTTTTAACCCAACAAACATTGTTTTATTATAAGATATTTCTCAGGTGAAAAACATCTGCTATATAAACTAGAGATACCTATAGCTTTATCAGGAAATTGGACCAATTATTACAGAAATCTTAGCCTATATTAGAATTCCAAGCATCAGAGAATGTGATGCTGTTACTATTCCAGAAATGAAGATATCCTCCCTACATCCGTGTTATACTGTTATACCAAATTCTTCCATTTGAGTGTTGTCTTAGCACATTATTTTGCTTAACTTTATCACATATAACCGATATTGTGTTGGCAATGTATACAAGCCTAGATAAAACACCTTTACACAGACAGTGTCAGACACAATCACTCTGGTGTCTGTCATCTTGTTCATGCTTTCATTAATTTTATTAAACCATGTTCAAACTGTTGGGTACTAGTTCAGAAGTGTTTGATATTTTGTCAGATACTATAGTTCAGCAGTGTCTGAGAATTTATCAAGTAAAACTAAGATCGTTATTTCCAGGCTAGCATGTATACAGTATCACTGTATCACAGGGGTTTGAGATTTTTTAAATGTAAATCGCTATATGAAAAATTAATTCAGGATGCGATGAATATGTTGAATGCCTTGACTTAGTTTACAAACTTAAAGCCACTGATGATCATCTGAGGGACTTGGAAGTGGAATCTATAAGGAATGTCAATCCAAAAATGTTTCAATTCCAGTCAGTGTTTACAAAGATGTGATGAACTAACAGGTTATGGTCAAACAAGCTAGCATCACCTATGATTTTTTTTAAAATGAATTTGATGGATATCTCTTTAATGAATCCAGCATGGGAAATTATCTACCTGAAGACCTTTTAACATGGTTTAAGACAGGAAAAATTAGATATTGTCTGAGAAATGCACAATCTGGATCGTCCACTTTATTCAAAATATATTATATATAATATCTTATTGGGTGTGATAATGCCTCTGAATAGTATGGTCCATTGTATTGTTTATTAAATCTAATTTACAAAAATAATCAACTCATTCATTACATTTTTTATATTTTCAGAAATTCTATCAAGAAACCAAGTACCAGCACACCGTGTACCAACAAACTACAGAGTCTTCGTAGTTTAATTGAACAGAAATATCAAACAACAGTTTGTCAGTCATGAAAACCATAACTTTCTTGAAATGTAATGATTCTGACTAAAAGTGTCAAATTTGTGATGTAATGATTCTGACTGAAAGTGTCAAATTTGTGATGTAATGAATCTGACTAAAAGTGTCGAATTTGTGATGTAATGAATCCGACTAAAAGTGTCAAATTTGTGATGTAATGAATCTGACTGAAAGTGTCATATTTGTAAAAATGCGCCAGTATCGTTATTTCTTCCTCGTGGGATTGATTCTCCATTTGACGGTCATCTACGTGATTATAATACAACCAACATCAGATCAACTCAACTACATCAAGGAACAGCAGTCAGAAATATCGATATCCAGGCCAATGTTCAAAGAACTGCAGCAGACACAGAGAGAAATTTTGAACAAAAGATCTGCAAATCTGGATTACGAATATGTTTTGGAAGAAATCAAGAAAATAAATAGACAGGCAAAATATGTGCCAGGAAAATTTCAGAAAATTCAAGGAATATTTGTGTTTGGTGCGTATTTGGATCACAGGCTACAAGGAGAGCCAATGGTTAGAATTCTAGCTCTGCAGAAATTGAAAGATACCGATAGCTTAGTTTGTTTATTTCAAAAAGACGAAAAATATTTTCTGACTTATACGGAGAAGTATGAAATGTGTGAGAATCATGGGAAGGTTTATGGCGGTTACATGTACTCATGCTCAATCCCTAAGCATTTCATTGGTCATCCAGAACAAGTGACATTAATGATCTTGACGGACGATGAGCAAGAAGAAACAATTTATCATACGATTAATTTATCTCCGCTTCATAAGAGACGAAATATCACAAGTGATTCAATTGGTGTCTGCCTTGCTCCTTTATACGGCGATATCAGAAGTTCACAGATAATTCAATTTATGGAATTATCAAAGATACTGCAAGCAACAAATGTTTTTGTGTATAAATTTAATGTGTCCAAAAACACAGACATTTTGCTAAATTACTATTCAGCAGACAAATTTGTGAAAGTCATTGATTGGTCAATTCCAGAAAATATCCAGGATTATGAAATCTGGAGTAAAGGCCAACTATTGGCTATTCAAGACTGTATTTATTCCAATATGAACAGATTTAAATATTTATTATTTCTGGACCTCGATGAAATGTTGATACCAAAAACCAGCGCATCTTGGATAGAAATGACCCAAGAACTTGAAGTTGCAGACAATTCCCGAAAGGTGGCTGCGTATTCTTTCAAAAGTTCTTTTTTTGATCCTAAATATCAATCAAACTTGGATCAAAGTATCCAATTTCTTCAACTCCGAGAAAGAACTGTGTCAACTAGCGAAGTGCGATCAAAAGTTATCATACGTCCCGAACGTGTATTTGAAGTTGGAATTCATCATCTAAGTCGTTCCCTTGACGATGCCTACACTTCTGTTAGTGTAGACCAATCAATGGCCTTGATACATCATTATCGTCCCTGTGTTTCTAATTTTGACCAAACCATGGAATGTTATCCAACAATAACTGATTCGTCTATTGAAATCTTTGCCACAGAACTCAAAGAGCAAGTTACGAAAACCCAACAAATTATGGCAAAAGTCTATAATCATTTTCAAAATGTGACTTATTTCAAGAACGAGTAAACTAATTTACAAGTCTTAAACTATCTGTGATATTAACTTATATTTAATAAACATCTACATGTGAAATCATTTGAGGTTAATCTTTAATACATGTACATGTGAAATGGGGTTTAACGTCCTACTGTTCTGCTACTGGGCTAACGAAGACGGCCATACGCCATACAGTGAGCTATGAGGCAAATTTTGCCCAGCCAGCGACACTATGGCCTACTCTAAAATTGAATTCCAACTTCCAAGGGGTCTTTTATGTGCATGCCAATGTATACATGGGACTTCTGTCTTTTATCACATCCGAACTAGACAACTGTCAGACCCTCTGTCCTGAACCACTGACAACGGGGAAACCATGTCTGAAAATCCTGATGAACTTTCTCGGCCAATGCAGGAACCAGGGATCGAACACCCGACTTGCAGGCTAGCGAGCCAGCGTCTCACCCACTTGGCCACTGAGGCTCCCACTGTACTTTGGACCAGGAACCAAGTACAATGTCATTCCAGCCATCCTAGAATTGTCCAAGGAACAAGCATGCTAAGATCCATGTTGTTTCTAAGAAGAACAATAAGATGAGTAGTGCTTGGATCCCAGTTCCTGATCCAAGAATGTGAAATGATGAAATACTGTTTTCTAATGACAGTGGTAACTTGCATTATATTAATGCTAACAAACTCTTCATATTGTACTGGGGAGGGGGGGGGGAGGTGGATGGCCGAATTGTTAGCATGTGCACTCTGTATCATAAGGTCTGTCATTATGAGAAATGGGGTTTAATGGCTACTCCACACAAACAAGGTAATTTTGGGACTAACATATGGTTAAATTTTTTTAATAATTTGCTTGCACATAGGGGTCTTTAGCAGTGGGAGGAAACCGGAGGACCCGGAGAAAACCCACAAGGTTGGACAGGCAACCCTACTTTTTGTCACGTACAACCATGTACAACCAGGGAATCGACACCATGCCAGTTGACTCAATGACAGACCCTATGATACAACGCTCATGCACTAACCATTCAGCCATCCACCCCCACCCCCACCCCTAGTAAATAAATGTACATCATGTACTGTAAATAAAAGCTTTTGTTTTTTCAGCTTTCATTGTATATATTAGGTTATATTCAGTATCTCATGACCTACCAAATATGAATCTTTAATTCATGTGTTGCAATTTTTGCTTGTCAAATGCCCAGGTAGCACATAACATGTCCAACACAAATAATAACATTTATCAGAATTAAAAGAGATGGGGATTATGTGTGTATCAATTTCCATTTATTGGGTTACCTTTTAACATAACATAACATGTCCAACACAAATAATAACATTTATGTCCAACACAAATAATAACATTTATCAGAATTAAAAGAGATGGGGATTATGTGTGTATCAATTTCCATTTATTGGGTGACCTTTTAACATGCTGTCAATGGCATTCACAAGACCTCAGATTTCCATCCCATTTGGATGACTAGATTATCTCCCTTGCCAGGTCCTGCGTCCTGCACCACTGACACCAACATCATGATCAGACCTTGGTCTACTGGTTGGTGAGCTAGCGCCATGCTCTCTAAATCACCATGACTCCCTAAAATTTGAGGAAAAGTCGGAGTCGGGCAAAGAAACCAGAATTAACATTGAAGTCAATGGGGAAATTAATGGTGGTCTGCCTCCATTCAACATAAGAAGAGTTACCTACCTTGACGACATCAGGTCCGGTAATAAACAGATATGATGTATCCTAAAAGAAACAAAAGATTATATTATTAACCCTTTAGCACCAGGCCCCTTATTCACGAAAACTTAAACTAAGATACAATCGAAATTTTAAGAAATACTGCAATTCGATTGGCTGACCAGTAAAATCAATTTGCATATATCCAATGAAGTTGCAGTATTTCTTAAAATTTCGGTTGTAACTTAGTTTAAGTTTTCGTGAATAAGGGCCCAGGACTGCCCGACTCTATTTCTCCTTCTAGCACCACAAACCTAGGGACTTGTTCTGTGACCTGGGAGACTTCAGTGGTCTATTATGGAGCAGCGGTTTCAGGTGGTTTTGAAAATGAGCTCCAAAAATTTGTTCAGGGAACTGGGGTTGTTACAATCTGATTAAAATACAGATCTATATTTCGTTTCGTTTTTTTATACTTTCAATGGCCTACACTACATGAAGATCTGACAAGTTATAGCGATAGGTCACGTCAGGGGTCAAAAGACCGACTTATGACCCTATGATGTCAGACATTTGATTAACCAATCAGCATTGATGTTACTAGTGGATTACCCACAGTTACGTGCAAAACACGCCTAAAGTTCGCCGTGACAGACCGTTTCATTGGCTTATTATCCCTGACACCATTCAGAACACGAGTTAAATAACAACTCTTCCAGATCCAAGTGTAGTAAAGACAAGTAAAACGAAATTTTGAACTATAAAAACGAAACGAAATAGTATCTGTGTTTTAACCAGATTGGGGTTGTTACTATTTACATGTACCTTAAAGGTCTAAAGAGCAAAACTTATTGAACAGGGGCCTGTTTCACAAAATTTTAACTAAGATAAAATTCAAATTTTAGTAATTTGATTGGATAATATTAGATGGATTTGAGTGCTTAGCCAATCAAAATTGAAGTATCTACTAAAATTTGGATTTTATCTTTAGTTAAATTTCGAGAAACAAGGTCGTGAGTGGTAAATTCTATAAAATGTCCTAAACATATAAAACACCAAAGTATGGGAATGATTTAAAACAAAGCTGGAAGAGTTATTCCCCTTTCTAAAATGTTCCATTCAACAATATGGTGGCTAACAATGGTTCAAAATTGTGTACATTTGACATGTATGATGGTACCACAAAAACATAATTAGTACCAGATTTAATGAACATTGGAAATCAATTTAAGGATTATTTATCTGTCATCTACAAATGAATAAAAATCTGCAAATTTAGCTACAGCTTTTTTAAAATATTGGTGCAGAAGTTTTTAAGTCTAAATTTCGAGTATCTTGGTTTTGAGTCTATACAAACAACTAGTAAAACAATCCATAAATATCAATCCATAGGTTCTACCCCTGACAAGACAAAAAGGGGCTTGTAGGATATCTAATGGTTCTTCTGGGCGATTCAAATTCTTTCAAAGTCCTGTGTAGCCCATGACAACCCCATTCAGTCCATTTTTACCTCATGACTGACATACATGACCATGTTGGAACCTATGTTTCACCCTATTCACAGTTAGTTTAAGAATAATATAACTTACCTTAACCATAAACGTAAAATCTGTTAGAGCTGGAGAATAAACAGCTCCACCTGATGTCATAATAAAAAAAAATAAAAATAAGACAAAATCTACACTAATATGTACTCAGATTGTTTATTTAACATTTAATTAAGAATTCAAAATCAAAATACCAACGCTTGGCTAGATAATGTCCCGGCTCGGATTCAATCCCATTTAAAATAGGCCTATCAATAAATTTTCACGGACAACAAAATGGTGGCAGGCTTATTGCACAGATAATATATATTTGTAAATACTGAACAGAATTGAATCATTTTTGGGAGAGAGAGAGACAGAGACAGAGACAGAGAGACAGAGAGACAGAGGGTTTAACCTCCACTCCACACAAACTAGGTCTATCGGGACTAACATATGGTTCCATTTTATTTCAATCATTTGCTTGGTATCATTTTTGGACTGATATACCTATGAGAGATCCACCTTTCACGATATACAAGTGCTTCTATAGCTCTAGAATGGTGCAAAAGGATTTAAAACTTACAAACTTATTCTATATTTAAACTATGGGTTTGGAGAGCCACGCCTCTTACCTACTGGAGGTTGATGCTAGGCCTATTGAATGAAATTCAAAAACAGAATATTTTACCTGCACATGGTCCCATAATTAAAGATATTTGTGGTATTACCCCAGATGCTTCAACATTTCTCTGTAAAAAAAACAAAACAATATTTACAGACCTATATTTTGTTTCTTTTTTTTATACTTTCAATGGCCTACACTACATGAAGATCTGATCGGTTATAGTGGCAGGTCGCATCAGGGGTCATACAAGTGGCTTTTGACCCTATGACGTCAGGCATTGATTAATCAATCAGCATTGACGTTTCTAGTGGTTTACCCACAGTTCCGTGCATGGCACGCCAAGAAGTCACCGTAACAGACCGTTTCATTGGCTTTCCCCTCATTTCAACCAAATCACCGGTAATATAACAACTCTTCCAGATCCTAGAGTAGTAAAGACAAGTAAAACAAAATTTTGAACTATAAAAAACGAAACGAAATAGAATCTGTGTTTTAATCAGATTGGCCTTAGGCAAATTCTGCACACTATCAAAATGTCTACTCCTTCTAAAACACCTGATCCCACTTCTTATTGATTTCAGAAGTTCACACAGCTAACAGTTTTCAGTGGCACTTTTGTATTTATACAAGTTTGCTAGCAACACTGCTTGGTGCGTGGTCGCTGCCCTTTATATGCTGTCTACCAAATAATTTTGTCTACATTTTCACTTTATCTAGCTGTGACAGTATTCTCACTCTAGTTTTCATGTTACATAATCACATTACTTTGGACATATTGGGGGTGCTCGATTGTCAGTCCAGAACGTCCAGAATTGACAGAATTACAATCAAGTGATATGGAATTAAGCCCTGTGACAGTTCTGTCAGTCCCGACAGCTGAGGTGGTGTGAGTAGAATGTGACATATTTTAAGTAACAAATATGTTTCAGCTGTCATGATTGGTTGAGATATTTTTTATGCAGTCAGCACATGCATTGTACTCTGAAATTCTCCTTTTCACTCGATTGACATTATTTTTGGAATTGAGAGAACTTAATTCCAGAATGTTCAATCGAGTATCCCCATTGAAACTATACTAACATCTGGTCATTTCATTTCAGTGGTTACATATGAATCATGAGGGGGGGTGAGAAATTTGCCTACTCTTCTTCGAATTTCATTGACCAAAGGTTCTTTTATGCGCACGCACACCGATGCGTACATGACTGAACTTTGTTTTTAGAACAATCCAAACAACTAGGCATACCGTAATTTCCTTGTAAGCCCCATGGGCACCACCCCTGACATGTGAAAACGGGCCTTTAAAATCCTGAAGGTTCTTGTCAGTCCACACAGGGATTCAAAACCACAACATTCTTGTTTAGATGTCAGAGCCCTATCGATTGACCGAAATGGCCCCTTTCTCTTTATAGAAAACTTGCTGCCATTCAAAACCACAACATTCTTGTCAAGATGTCAGTGCCCTAATGATTGACCACATTGGCCCCTTTCTCTTTAAAGAAAACTGGATGCCATTCTAGTTTACATTCCGTTACCTAATCATAATTACATACCTGAAATATATCTGCATATCCTGCAAGAGATTGCACACCCTCCTGTATTCTGGCGCCACCAGAATCATTTAATCCAATCACAGGAGCACCAACTAGCATAGCTTGATCCATAATCTAAAACAGTAGCATTCAAAAACATAATGAGAAACAAGACAATATGGTTTAATTTCCACATAATACTTCAATCATTTTGAGATTTACCATAAATAAATTTTTATATCTGTGGACACTTGTGCAATATTACGGAGGTGAATTTTGACTGAACAGTGAAGTTTCCTCCTACTCATCATCGAATCACAACTGCCAAGGGTTCTTTTATGTGCACAACAATGTTTATACGGGTATACCTTGATTTTTCAGACCATCTGAATGACTAGGTAACAATTCCTTTGTCAACCCTGAGAACTGGGTTTGAAAATTCTTGATGGGGGGTCTTCTCGAGTAACACAAGAATTTGACATTCTACTAGTACAGTGCCTTGACCATTCGTCCAATGCGACCCTCGATAGGTCAGATCTCTTAATAAAGTTAATAAACCAGAGAAAACCCATGATAAGGGGCTATAACTGATCACTCAACAACATTATATAGATCAAAAGTTGAAATAAAATAATCAGCAATACTCACCTTACATACTTTCTTAGCGTGAGCTCCAGATAAACTTCCTCCAAATACGGTAAAATCCTATAAAAAAAAAAAAATCTATTATGTCGTTCAGACATTCAAGCTAACCCGGCTTAAAAACGCTGGTGATCATTAAACTTGAACGCAAATTTGGGCAATATAAACTGGCTTTAAAATTACCCCAGCTCTGTCTTACAAAAGGCTTTTTTAAAGCAGGCTTATATTAGACATCTGAATAGGACTGCTTAAAAAAAACAGCTAATGATAGCTTGGGGCCCTAGCAGAAAAAAATCCTCCTGCAAGAAATTGTTGACATGGCTCATGCATAATTAACCCTAACCTTTAAACTGACATGGTCAAAATATTTATGTGTAAATGCTATATTTCGCTGGCCTATATGAAATTCTGAAGTCAATTAAAAGAATATCTGGGACTATGTTTGCCTTTTACCAGTTTGATATATTGTGCTCTTAATGTTAAACATACATTATGCAAGAGCCAAATCTGCCTATTGCGGGTCTTTCTTTAGGCCTGAAATGTTATCTAAATTATTAATTAGACAGTAATCAACTTATCCAGACCATAATCAACTCTCGATGTCTTGATGATTAAATCAAAAATGGATAATCGAGACAATGTTTTTTTATCACACCGACTTCAGTAATGATGATCGAGGCTAGGCCTAAAATTCAATTGCTAAATTTTGGTTCAGAGTGGATCACTTTGACTGAAATTTTCAGCAAATTCCATTTACATTATTTAGTTTTCAACTATTATAGTGAGAACTGCCAGCTCTTTATCTAATCTCCTTAGTCCCGAAATGACCTAGTTTGTGTCGAGTGGACGTTAAACCCCATTTCCTTCCTTATCTAATCTCCCATAATGTAACTTTAAGTTTACCTGACTAAAAACAAAAACTAATCTTCCATTTATTTTACCTCTACCAGTCACTACACTATCACCAGGATACTGAAACATATATCAGGTATAAATTAATTGAGAGAATGGTTTATATTAAAACACACTGGGCTATGATATAAATGCCAATCAACAATTGTAAGTTGTTTAAGCGTCATTTAATAACTGAATGGGAATAACACATGACACAATCATATGGAACTAGCGGATAAGCCGGCGATGCCGAGGTTGTGCTGTAACTCCGAAACCAGAAGCAGCTACCCCTATACACCAAATTTCTGCCTTGGGACATTCTTAGTGTAGCCGCCATACCTGAACAGACAAACAAACAACAGTCACAAATATTAGTATAGATAGAAGTTACTTAAAAGTTTATTTCTGGCTAAGTTTCAATGAGTGAGAAATAAACAATTAAGTAACTTGTATTCTATATAAGTAACTTGTATTCCATATATTTGTGTCACATGTTAAACAATTATAAGAGTTAAGCAATATTTGACTAAAAATGTATACAAAGCTCTTAGATACATGAACAGGGAATAATACATTTACAGCCCCTGAAATTATTGCCTATGATATACAACAATAAGTGTCCTTTCTGGAATCACATGTTAGCAAGTCAGTCACTAAAGTCAAATCTAAATCTAACCAGCGGCTGCCAGGCAGGATACGCCCACATTTTCGAGAGATGGATAGAGAACAAGCTAAAAAGAAAGTGATTTTCCGTACAATCAGGGGCTATAATTCAGGAAGTTACGGTCCGATATGCACGAATATCGAAAGGAACCGAGATCTTCGGGTTATAAACTTACATTTCAAGTTTCAACAAAATCAGATAAAAATTGTGACCTCTATAGGGTCCACAATCTTGATATACCATATTTTTACGCTATTTGAGAACGATTGGCGGCTATTTTATCTGTCAATTTTGAGCCGATTGTCACGAAATTCTACCTCAGCTGTCCTTAGGGTGTAACGGTGATATAATAATATGTTTTTTTAAATCGGATAAAAATTATGACCTCTATAGGGTCCACAAACTAAAAACGCGATTTTTCGTACAATCGGGGGCCATAATTCAGGAAGTTACGGTACGATATGCGCGAATATCGAAAGGAACCGAGATCTTTGGGTTATAAACTTACATTTCAAGTTTCAACAAAATCGGATAAAAATTGTGACCTCTATAGGGTCCACAACCTTGATATACCATATTCTTACGCTATTTGAGAAGGAACGGCGGCCATTTTGTCTGTCAGTTTTGGGCCGATTTTCATGAAATTCGAACTCAGCCGTCCTTAGGGTGTACCGGTGATATAATAATACGTTTTTTTAAATCAGATAAAAAATTATGACCTCTATAGGGTCCACAAGCTAAAAACGTAATTCTTTGTACAATCAGGAGCCATAATTCAGGAAGTTACGTTCCGATATACGCGAATATCTAAAGGAACCGAGATCTTTGGGTTATAAACTTACATTTCAAGTTTCAACAAAATCGGATAAAAATTGTGACCTCTATAGGGTCCACAACCTTGATATACCATATTTTTACGCTATTTGAGAACGATCGGCGGCCATTTTGTCTGTCAGTTTAGGGGCGATTTTCACGAAATTCGAACTCAGCTGTCCTTAGGGTTTAACGGTGATATAATAATACGTTTTTTTAAATCGGATAAAAATTATGACCTCTATAGGGTCCACAAGTTAAAAACGTGATTTTTCGTACAATCAGGGGCCATAATTCAGGAAGTTACTTTCCGATATGCGCGAATATCAAAAGGAACCGAGATCTTTGGGTTATAATCATACATTTCAAGTTTAAACTAAATCGGATAAACATTGTGACCTCTACAGTGTTCACAAGTTAAAAACGTGATTTTTCGTACAATCAGGGGCCATAATCCATGAAGTTACAGTCCGATACATGCCAATATCGAAAGGAACCGAGATCTTAGGGTGATAAACATAATTTTCAAGTTTCATTGAAATCGGTTAAAAATTGTGACCTGTAGACTGTTCACAAACAATTGTGGACGGACGTCCGGACGAACGGACGGACAGGGGCGACGACAATATACGTCCACATGAAAATGTGGGCGTATAAAAATCTACTTGAAAAAAATACTGTTTCCTTTATTAATCTCTTGCTTTCTGACAAAAAAGAATAATAAAAGATAAGATTATATATTTTGCATTTTTTAAGTAGCAGGTACAGTGATCTAAGTGCATTGACTGACAGGAAAATTTCAGAGCAAGGCATTTGCAATATGAACTGGACTATGGACAACCAAATAACCAAAATATCAGTACTACAACTGGTAACCATGGGGCCAAAATTGGCAAAATTTATGGAAGCGAACAATTTCTTAATGATCATATAAAATAGCAATCACCTTTTCCTTTTCCATACCAAAATCAGTACAGTCATGTTCCATAAACATATCATATTCAACAAATGAATCTGCATCTACCAATAACTGGATTCTTTCTCTGGCTGTTAGTTTACCCTGTAATGGAATAAAGATCATGTTTAATGATGAAGCACTATAAATTAGCAATCATGAACGTTGAAATTGATAGAAAAAAAAGTTTTAATTTGATGTGATGAAGCACCATAATTTAGCAATCATGAACATTGATATTGATAAAAAAAAAGTGTTAATTTGGTGTGATGAAGCACCATAATTTAGCAATCATGAACATTAATATTGGTAAAAAATAAAAGTGTTAATTTGATTTGATTTGCACGACCAACAAATGACATCTCTAGATTCAGTACACTATAGGTACCTTCTTTTTTTTTTTAATACAATGAGTAGGGTTCTTCCAGAATGTTATTACTTTTGCACATGGCGGAAAACAGATTGATTAAAAACCATAGTGGTGTATACAGATAAAAAACTGGATATACATGCTTATTGGTAAGCACAGTGGCCCGCTGGAAGTCTATCCACTATATCCACCCTGACCTTAAACACATCTGGTGTTATTTATTAGCAAAATGAAATGGGGTTTAACATCCTACTGTTCTGCTCTGAACTAGGCTAATACAGGCGGGCCATACGGGCCTAATCTTATTTCGAATTCCAACTTTAAAGGGATTTTGTACGTGCATGCCAATGTGTACACGGGACCTCAGTTTTTCATCCCATCCGAACGACTAGACAGTATTTATTACCTCTGGTGTAACTTTAATTTAGATGATGTGTGAATTAAGGACGACCTGCTGATTTATATTAGAGATATTGGGCTGCAGTCAGGGGAGCACTATATTAAATGTACTTTTTTTGTTTATTAATCATGTTTGATACAATTAATGTAATGCTGATTAAAAAAAAACCTTTTGATGTTGTTTTTCAATTCTTTTCTGACCCCCTCCAAGCAGTGCTCTTTTTCTTTTGTCAGCTATGCGGTCTCTGACAGCCAGTGTGTGTTCGGTGGTACCGGCTACCACGGCATATTTTCTCAGTGGCGCTGTCCTCTGAACACATCGAATGGGTTTATTAAAATTCTGTAAAATAAATCGCGACAATGTCAAACGAGCTGCCATCTTGGTGCCGCAAACGACCTTCACCTCATCTCATTCATCCAGTCTTTTATTTCAATGGAAAATAATGAAGGCTATATATAATACTGGAATGATCGAAAAACAACCTTGACCTTTCAATAGCCGAATTCGATTGCCAGTGTCTAGTCGCTTTTTTTTTTAAGACTTCGGTAGTTTCATTGAATAGTCATGTCATCCGAGACAAAAATGCACTGAAAAATAACAATACGAATACACCAAAACAAGAAACAGCCAGAAACACCAACAGCCATCAACGAAGAAAAGAGAATATTAGTGAGTAAGAAAAAGGACAAATATCCATCATGATCATGAAGTTTGCTTTAGCTGTCTGTTTTACTTTGCCTTTTGCAAGTCTGTATAGTTATTTATCTCTGTTCTTTCTAAAGGCTTTTACAAATTGTAATACTACTAATTGTATGCAAAATTATAGACGAATCTTTCCAAAGCCATCTCATATTATTCATATAGACATTTTTACTTTCAATTTACTTTCTAGTAGTGGTAGACTTATTCCAAATGAAAGGTTATAGCTTATTCTAGAGAGAGAGAGAGAGAGAAAAATGGGGTGTAATGTCCACTCGACACAAACAAGGTCATTTCGGGACTAACATGTTGTTCTATAATTCGCTTGCGCATAGGGCGTAGGGGTCTTTAACAGTGAGAGGAAACTGGAGTACCTGGAGAAAACCCACATGGTTGGACAGGTGACCCTACTCCTTGTCACGTACAACCGGGGAATCGAAACCACACCAGTTTCAGACTCATTGACAGAACTTAGGATGGAACGCACACATGCTAACCATTCAGCCAACCAACCTCCCTTAATAACTTATAAGTAGGTTGCAGCTCATAGATTTTCATAGTTATGACAACACTAACCCTGTTGCCGTTTCATGAAAGGGTACAGGTAGCTATAGTGATTAGTTAGCTCTAAATTTAAGTCTCCTAAACGACTCTTTGTCGAAAATATTCCCCAGTAAATTTTACTGGGTAATTTTTTATGGCTAAATAATCATGTGTCCTTCCCTGTAAATGGCTGTACATTGTATAGGAACATTTCAGTGAAAAAATAAGACCATATTAACCTCGATACAGCCAGTATGTGCAACACAACACGCTGGTAAAAACAGGCACTAGGCCTATTTGCCAAATTGCTTATTCCTCGCCATTGCAGTCTAATAATAGACCAGTGCACAAAAAAGAACATTGGTGACACAAAGACGAAACAAAATTTAGGTAACCAAGGGAAAAAAAATCATTATCGTTGCAGATGGGCAGGTGACTGTTAGTCCAGATCCATCTGCGTGTTATTCGTTCTTGACGAGGGGAGCCACGGTGGCTCAGTCAGAAAAGTGTTGTATCGCTAACCTAGAAGTCCAGTGTTCGATCCCTGCAATGGCCGAGAAAGTTCATCAGGATTTTAAGGCACGATTCTGCCTTTTCAGTGCTGCAGGACAGAGGCCTGGCAATGGACAAATTATAGTCGTTTGGATGGGAGGAAAAACCAAGGTCCCTTGTACACATTTACTTGTACATAAAAGAACCCTTGACAACTTGAATTCAATACATACATGTAAGTAGGCCATGGCGTTTTGTCGAAGCAAAATTTCCTTCATAGCTCATTGTATGGCATGCCCGTCTTCATTATAGAGTAGGAGCAGAACAGTTGGAATTTAAACCCCATTTAATTCCATTTATGCGACGATCTCTTATCAACTGATTTATAACATTTAAATAAACATAATATTTTTGGATGACAATTTGTTAACCGGTTGTTTGAAGAAGTGAAGATTTCTGTGCTAAAGTGAGTTACAATAATTAGTAAGTTCGTTTACTTTCAGCTAAGCATCTTTTGGAAAATTTGTATTTCTGTAGTATAATAGCTGTTTTAAAAATAAATAGACGGTTATATACTGTACACATGTACCATATATAATTATATAGATGTTGCACCACATCCTTAACAAACAGAAATGTTGATTCAGAGGGTGTCGGTCACAATAAATTGTATTTTGTTAGATGTTATTGAACAATTTCAATGCCTACGTGTACATAAAGTTATATGAAATGTGTATTCAAAGTGGGTTGGGTGGCTGAATGGTCTAATCTCTCTCTCTCTCTCTCTCTCTGTAATAAAGGGTTAACCATTCTTTTAAATCAATAGGATGATTTATTTATATTCTAATTATCTGTTGTACTGTTGTCATTGTTTTTGTGATCAATTAAGTCATATTGGTGTGGGAGGCAAAACAAAAATCATTAATGCTAAATAATTAATGAATAAATAATTAGTATATTTATTGAAGAAAAGCATATTGACCAAATCTTGGATATAGATCATGGGTTGTGTGCAACATTCTGTGAATATAACATCAGAAAGAAGCATTGGTTATAATGTCATGATGTAGGTTTCACGTCACAACATGTTCAGTTTTATGGTACATCATGTGAGTTTGACCAAATTGGAATGTGAGTGAAGAGTAAAGCCTACATGTAGCTCACGACCTGCTGTATGTGCTACCACAGACAGTTTATGAGGGAAATTTTAGTAAACCCATGGATGAGACTTATGCATCACTTGCCTGTGTTTGACACTGTAGAAGATCGCAGATTGGCCATAGAGACTTTTGGTCCTGCACATACAAAATTTACACCCGGTATCTTGAGCGGGGTCTGCGATGTACCAAACCCTACGATCCGTGTTTGTAAAAACACATATGACGTGTTTTGAGCTGGGCTTTAGTCAGGGTTTGTCTTTGTTAAGTATTGTTTCCTTATGTTTGTATTCAACTACAGGTGTGTGAAATGGCTCGTTAACCTGGAGGTCAGGCCTGGAAATAACGTTTTTAGATGTACCTGACGAAATGTTAGGCACTAATGAAATAGTACCTGACATTTTCAACTTAGTGCCGGACTTGTGTTAATGATATCAATAAAAAAGACAAATCGGTGCCGAACAAAATGACAGGCACCAGAGATATTGAGCCTGATAAAGCTTGAATCTGTGTCTGACATTGTCTGTGACAGATGCCTTATCTCCAGGCTTGCTGGATGTCCCGTGTTTGATCCCTATGTTGACCGAGAAAGTTCATTGGGATTTTCCGATGTGGTTCCCCCCTTGTCAGTGGTGCCAGAAGGAGGGCCTACATGTAGCAAGCAACAGCATATAGCTGTTCGGATGGGACGAAAAATGAGGTCCTGTGTACACTGGTGAAACATAACCATTTTTTAACTAAATGTAGGAAAATACACATGTTAAATATATTTCTGTCTTATTTCAGGAATTATGGTGGTTGTATACCATTCCAGTAGACATATACAGCTGTCTCCATAATCTATCACAACTTCCAGGAATCCTTTAGGATGGCCGAATCTCTACTTCAAACCAGTCTATCATCTTCTTCAAGTCTCAGTTCCACTGCTTCCTTTGACGCCAATAGTTCAAGAATGGTATCTACCGATCATATATCCGATCTACGTCTGTGGCCTATATTTAGTATTTTAGATCAGGACATGTTGTCATCTATAGATAAAGTCTGTGTGTTTGGAAGTTCTGGTAATGAAGCTGTGTTTATAACTAAAGAAGATGATGTTTATGCCATTGGATCCAATTGTAGTAGCTGTTTAGGACTAGGTATATATGTATTAACTGAATTAAACATACATTATGTAAGAGCTAAATCTGTCTATTGCAGGTCTTTCTTTGGGCCTGAAATGTTACAATGTGTATATTAACTTTTAATTAGACATTTATTAACAAAACAAGACCATAATCAAAACTTGATGGCATCAGATACTCAGGATTTTAACTAGATTAGAATGGTTCGCCATTTGAAAATTTAATTTACAAATGGGAAAGCGAGGCTAAGTCTCAAATATACCAGTTCCCTAGCTGGTTACCACAATGTACACATCTTGTCAAAACTACAAACATTGATAACTTGGTTTAGAATGATGTAATTTGAATGAAATTTTCAATATTTTTTCATTTTACATTATCTATTTTTGAGCTATTATAGCAAGAACAGTCAGCTCTTTATCTAAATCTTACAAAACCAAGATGTCCATTGAGGCCAGTATACAATACAAACGTAATATATGAATAGATATTTATAAATACATATTTAACAAGAATCTGGATAGGATATAAATATATAAACAGTGAAATGAAATGATATCAGGTTTAACGTCCTACTGGGCTAAAGAAGTCGGGGAATTAAAATAGTTGTGATAGTTGATCCTAGAAAAAAACTAATAATAAAAATCAGATGAGATGAGAATCTCAGAAATCATAATCAGATTAGGAAAAGATCACTGGTAGCATGTACATGTACATACATGTATACATGTAGCATTAGAATTTCTTTAACGGCAGTAGCAAATTGGATCAAAGTGCTTATTTGGTATTGTATATTTCATTCGTTTGTATCCCTGTTACAAATTTTCCCACAGCTAAAGACCTCTACGCGTAAGCGAATTATTGAAAAAAAAATGAACCCAATGTTAATCCCAAGATGACCTAGTTTGTGGATGTTTAGCTCTCTCTCTCTCTCTCTCTCTCTCTCTCTCTCTCTCTCTCTCTCTGGTTCAAGTTATATAAAGATTGTTTGTTGTTTTTATAGGTGATACACACAGTAGTTTTGAACCAAGGAAGATTGATGTGTTATGTAGAAAGAAGATTATAGATATAGCGTTTGGTAGTGGACCACATGTTTTAGCAGTTTCTGGAAGTAGGTTTTTGCTCTTGTTCGTCTTACACCACCCCATTTTAACAAACCACATGTAAAACTAGACTATATATAGTAGTCTTGAACAGATAAACCGGATATTTTGAATTAACGTTATCAAATACAAACACAGATAAACCAATCTGATTATAACACAGAACCTATTTCGTTTCATTTTTTTATAGTTCAAAATTTCGCTTTACTTGTCTTTACTACACGAGGATCTGGAAGAGTTGTTATCATTGACGTGTTCTGGATGGTGTTAGGGATTAGCCAATAAAACGGTCTGTTACGGCAAGCTTTAGTCGTGTTTTGCAAGGCACTGTGGGTAATCCATTAAAAACATCAATGCTGTTTGGTTAATAAAATGTCTAATGTCATAGGGTCAAAAGCCGCTCTTATGATCGCTACAACTTGTCAGATCTTCATGTAGTGTAGGACATTGGAAGTATAAAAAAACAAAACGAAATATAGATCTGTATTGTAATCAGATTGAAGATAAACAAGACAGATCTGTGTCTGACAGGTAACGGGGAGGAAATCTGAGGACCCAGAGAAAACTTGCAATGTTGACAGGTGGTCCTACTCCCTGCCATATACAAGATAGTGATCCATTGATTCAATGACAGACCTTATGGTCTAAAGCATTATACCACTTGACCATATCTAGTTATAATCTAGCTATTGTAATCTTATATTACTGTCAAAAAAAACCAAATTGGTTCTGGATTTTTTTGTAATAAAATTTTCTGTTGTTAATTTTAATTTTCTTCCTTTTATCGGTGAACCCAAAATATCTGGATTTTCAGGCCACCTATCAAAATATGCCTTAGGACCAGCAGAGCCTTAATCAAGCCTTGGCAGGACCAGGATTATTTATCTTGATATTACCATGATATTTTGTTCACTGTCAGTGTTGATAGAGAATATTCCTCAGGATTTTCCGTCCTGGTTCCCCCTTGTCAGTGGTGCAGGATGGAGGGACGAAAAGATGAGGTACCGTGTACACATTGGCATACGTGTAAAAGCACCCTTGACAGTTGGAATTTGATATAAGATTAGGCCGTAGTGCCGCTGTCCAGGCAAAATTGTTCTCATAGCACACTGCATGGCTTATGCCTGTCTTCATTAGCCCAGTTGATGCAGGAAAGTAGGACGCTATACCCCCATTTCATTTCCATGATATTTATATAATATATTTGTTGTGTATTACTACAGCTGGTGAAGTTTATAGTTGGGGACATAATGGATATTGTCAGTTGGGTAATGGTGGATCAAATCAAGGTCTCATTCCATCGTTAATAAATTCTGGTCTACAGGGGAAGAGAGTGGTACAAGTTGCTTGTGGTAGCCATCATTCTATGGCGAGAACACAAGATGGTGATGTAAGTTAGATAACTCCTACTCAACCTCATGTTACTACAGTACATGACACATTTATTTGGAAAACAACTTTAGAACTGACATCAGAACGTAATCTGTATTCCATATAATTGTGTCATATGTTATTCTTGATCAGTTACTAAATGCTGCTTAAAGGACAATTTTGGTGCCAGTCATTATCACAAATGTTGCAAATATAATTTTAACACAGAGATCATTGCTACGATAGATGTGTAATAAAGGTTTCTACAAAAGGAAGTTACGAACGCAAAAGGAAAACAAGAGTTATCCTTCTATATAACTGACTGAAGTGATAAATGATACATGGCGAATTTCTGCTCACTAATAATAATTCCTTTGGCAAACAAAAGTTGTTATATGAGACTGTGAGAGGATATCTGACAATTCAAAAAAGTAATTGAATGTCACTAGATAAGAGAACAGGAGAAAAATAGAAAAAGAGTAGGCCACAGCGCCACTGTACGGGCAAAATTTCCCTCATAGTACGTATGCTCGTCTTCATTATCCCAGCTATCGATGCCATCTGATGCTTCTGATTTTCATTAGATTTGAATCTGATCTGCCCTTCAACAGCTATTGATGATTAAACTCATAAATGGATAATCAAGACTTTGTTTATTGTTGTTACAAAGGTAACAATGGCAATCAAGGCTACAGTGTTAGAGTGAAGTAATTTGACTGAAATTTTCAGCATATTCCCGTTATATTATATATTATATAATGTATTATAGCAATAACTGTCAACTCTTTATCTGATTATCCATAATGTATGTTTAATGATTACAGGTTTATGCATGGGGACAGAATAATTGTGGTCAGGTTGGTACAGGAACTACATCCAATCAATCTACACCTAGAAAAATAACCGCAGCATTAAGTTAGTTTATTTCTATCTTATGGGGATCATATTGGTCTAGTAATTTAACATAAAAACAACAGGGGATATATTCATTGTACTCATTGTTTAAGATGTGTTAGTGCTCTGGAGACGTGGGGGGGGGGGATTGGAATTGGGTGGCCGAATGATTAGCATGTGCGCGCTGTATCATACGGTCTGTCATTGAGTCAACTGGCATGCTGTCGATTCCCCGGTTATACTTGACACGGAGTAGGATCGTCTGTCCAACCTCATGGGTTTTCTCCGGGTCCTCCAGTTTCCTCCCACTGCTAAAGACCCCTACGTGCATGTGAATTATTGAAATAAAATTGAACCATATGTTAGTCCTGAAATGACCTAGTTTGTGTCGAGTGGACGTTAAACCCCATTTCTCTCTCTCTCCATATTGATTTTAGAATAGCCTATAATATAAATGGACACAGGAAACTGGTGGCCATAGTGACAAGGATTTATTGATGGAGACTGATAAATATTAAAGTATATAATATGATATTGTTTTAACTAGGTAGACCTTGTATAGCTATATCATGTGGACAGACGTCATCTATGGCACTTATGGAAACCGGTGAAGTAAGAAATTTTCTTTAATATCTAACTTTTTTTCTTCTAATTGAATTCAGTAAAATGTGTCTCGTGGAAACAACTGAATTGATTTGTAGTGGCCCTAAAGATTTATGAACATATAGCGGACCATACAGAATTATTTCAGTGCCGTCCCAATTCTGTTAGTCACTATTACTGAGGACAAGAGTAGAATCGTGATGTGATTAAACACAACGAATATGTTTCAGCTGTCGTGATTGGTTGAGATGTTTTCTTATACAGTCAGCGCATGCATTGTAGCTGGCAATCCCCCCATCCCCACCCCCATTTCACACTATTGTTTTGTGTGGGTTATATCAGTGGACCCTAATGAAGCTCTAGTATGACAACCTGATTAAAATAGAGATCTATATTTCATTTCGTTTTTTATACTTTTGATGGCCTATACTACATGAAGATCTGGCCGGTTGTACTGGAAGGTCACGTCAGGGGATGTACAAGTGGCTTTTGACCCTATGACACCAGACATTGATTAATCAATCAGCAAGGACGGTTCATTGCATCGCACAACAAGAACTCGCCGTAACAGACCGTTTCATTGGCTAATCCCTCACTTCAACCATAACATGTCTTATATAAACAACTATTCCAGATCCTAGTGTAGTAAAGACAAGTAAAACGAAATTTTGAACTATAAAAAACAAAACGAAATAGGATCTGTGTTTTGATCAGATTGTAGTGTAATTTCCTAATTTTAAAGGTATTATGATATCAATGGACCCTAACAACAGTGTTATAGTGATGACCTTCAGTTTTGGGACTCACTATAATTCAGATTATAATTCAGCTCTAGTGTAATTTGTAATATTAAAGGTATATGGTTGGGGTTATAATGGTAATGGACAATTAGGACTAGGTAATAATGTCAATCAACCAGCTCCGTGTAAAGTGGCGATGTTAGCAGGTGTTATTATACATCAGGTATATGTTATTATTTTAGTTTTTATTTTAAAAATTATTCTATTCATTTGGCTTTAGAAATCATTTAAAGATACTTTCGCAGAAAAGTATTTATCAGGTGTTTATTTCCAATAAAAGTAGGGCATTTTTGGTATATATCAATATTAGAAATATCCAATCTTACTAGAAAAATATGGGTTCTATGAAAAGCACCCATGGAGTGCATACAGGGCAAAAAAGTAAAGGTTTCCCTAACTGGCAACCTGACGATTAGTTTTTTCCAAGCACTACGTTTTTCTTCCCACTTCTGAACACCCTTATTTGAATTTTAATAGTAATCCACGAAAGGTTTCATGTTGAGTACCAGATAAACGCCACTTTTGTATCTCTCACGCTCACGTGTCTTTTAAATTGAACTGTTGGCTTATGATATGAATTTGATGTTCTGCAGATTGTATGTGGTTACGCCCATACAATGGTTTTATCAGACGAAGGTGTGATGTACTCATGGGGAGCTAACTCTTATGGTCAACTGGGTACAGGAAATAAAGCTAATCTGGTATCTCCAGCTAAAGTTAACTCCGGCATAGAAAGGTAGGTTACTCTAGACTTACTTTGAAAGTATTGCTCTCAGGGGCATAGAAAAGATGTTATTGCTCTCAAGGGGGGGTTGGATGGCTGAATGGTTAGCGTGCGCGCTGTATCATAAAGTCTGTCATTGAGTCGACTGGCATGGTTTCGAATCCCCGGTTGTACGTGACAAGGAGTAGGGTCGCCTGTCCAACCTCGTGGGTTTTCTCCGGGTCCTCCGATTTCCTCCCACTGCTAAAGACCCCTATGCGCAAGCCGATTTTTATAAATAAAATTAAACCATATGTTAGTCCCGAAATGACCTAGTTGTGTCGAGTGGACGTTAAACCCCATTCTCTCTCTTTCTCTCTATTGCTCTTAAATTATTCAAGAACTAAGGTTGATGAGGATTAATTCGAATTAAGGCATGCAAATGGATGTGTTGTTGCGTGCGCTTCACTCTGATGGATTTTTTTTTTTTTAAACAAGCTTTATGTTAATGCATGATTAAAAAGGCTGTGTTTCCCCAAGTTTATATGACAGACATGGCATGTGCCCTTCTTCATCAGCCTGGTTGTTACAGAAAGGTATGACACTAAACACACTGTGGATCAAGATGGAGAGCCTGGCACGGAACAATGTCTAGTTCCATTCTGTTCACAGCGATCCATCTACCTCATACTTCGAGAATAAATCTCTGTCCGGAATTGCCGCTATATCCAAAAATTAAATATATTGTTTTGTTATGCGGTTCTACTCCATTTTACATCCAGCATACACACAAAGACTAAATAAACCTATTCCATTCCATTAAGTGGAAGCAGAATAAATACTTCTCAAAATTCTCAGAGTTTGCTTAGTGTATTTGACATAAATCATCGATTTAGGACTTAAAATGTTTGTCAGCTAGCTTAGTGTCTGTTCTCAAGCAGAGCTAACTGTAGACTGGCAGACTAAGTTTAGTATGCGTCTTGTCCCATGCACTTAAAAGAACCTAAGACAGATGGAATTTCGAAATAAGAGTCGTCTGTAGCATGGTTGTCCGGTCAAAATTTCCCTAATAACACACTGCATGGTGTATATCCTTCTTCATTAACCCAGTTGTTCAGGAAAGCAGGACATTAATCCCCCATATTCCGTTTATTCTTTTCCGTACGATGTCAATATTTTTTATTGTTTTAATTTTTGTACAGGGGTGGGTGGATGGCCGAATGGTTAGCATGTGCGCGCTGTATCATAAGGTCTGTCATGAGTCAACTGGCGTGGTTTTGATTCCCCGGTTGTACGTGACAAGTAGTAGGGTCGCCTGTCCAACGTCGTGGGTTTTCTCCGAGTCCTCCGGTTTCCTCCCACTGCTAAAGACCCCTAAGTGCAAGCGAATTATTGAAATAAAAAATTCAACCATGTGTTAATCCCAAAATGACCTAATTTGTGTCGAGTGGAGGTTAAACCCCATTTCTCTCTCTTTTTGTACAGATTTACTGGTATTGCTGCTAGCCATTATTCACACATATCTGCTGCTATTAGTCAGACGGGTAAAGTTTACATGTGGGGTCAATGTCGAGGTCAATCTATAACGGCACCACTAGTAACAAGATTTGTATCAACTGATGACGTATTTGCTACATTCTCAGCTCCACCTGTTAGTTGGAGAACTTATTGTGTTGGTAAGTAAATTGTAGTATGAGGTAGAATATGGGATGTAGTCATAATGGCCATAAGCCATAACAGCCAAAATTGATTTTGGTCAAAACGGTCCTTCTTTGGTCATAACAGTCAAACAATTTGGTTATAACGGTCAAAAAATTTAGTCATATCATAATGGCCAAACATTAATAATTTAATGAAAAACAATACATTTTGCCAAATATTATGCTGTTTGAATGGCATTTAGTAATTGAACACATTGAAATAAACACAACAGTTCTGTGGATAACAATTACTGTATTGTGCTTGATAACGACAAGAGAATCGTTGTTGAAACGTAGCTTTAAAGTTACAATTTCATATTTTTTAAGAAAGTCAAAACATAATTATTTCTATGTCTTTTGCTCAGTAGGTTGTCAACTCACTATTATACGATCATAGGTGTCATTCTCACACTTAAAACTCATTTACACTGGAAATAATAACACAATTACCTCCCTTGTTTTCTACTCTCCACTATGGAGTAGCTAATTTCAAACGTTTAAATTTGAAGATGAAAATTATATTTTTGCCTATTTCTCAACTGGCAATAGTGAATTATAGGATTAATAGGATTATTCTTTAACAAGGTAGGACTGTTTATACATGTAGATACCATCTATTTTAAGGCTTTATTTTAATAAATTCTAAAAATATAACTTAAATGAAATGAAATGAAATGAAATGTGGTTTTATGGCACGTCAATATAACTTAAAAATATGAAATTGCAACTTTAATGCAAATACAGTAAATGTTATCCATAGAACTGTTATGTTTATTTTATACCAAATATTACTTACCTTTGATAAAAATAACAATCATGCTTACTATAACGGGTCAACATATCTTATTCTTTATCACTGTTTGACCTTGTACCGTGTACACATTGGCGTGCACGTAAAAGATCCCTTGGCAGTTGGAATTCGATATAAGAGTAGGCCATAGCGCCGCTGCCCGGGCAAAATTTCCCTCATAGTACACTGTGTGGCATATGCCCGTCTTCATTAGCCCAGTTTTGGAGCAGAACAGTAGGACGTTAAACCCCATTTCATTTCATTTCATTTCTGCTATGACACAGGTGTTGGCGCGGGGGGGTGCGGGTGGGGTGCACAGTGTCCATGATGCCGATGTTGAGGGTCAACAAATTATAATTTATTAGCACCTTCCTAATAGAATAAAATGGCGAGGGTTGGGGTTTGTTTTTTTCAAAAATGTAAAAATGTATATTAAAGGTATATTTTGTATAATTTGTGTATAAATGTTTGTATATTTACAGAACATATTAAAGGTTGTAAATTAGCTCAGAGTGTTGCCAAATCTTTTAATGACCAGGTTTGTTGACACATTACTTCTTTTCTTTTTTATCTTTATTTTATTGACTTTCTAAAATTGAAATAGTTCAATGATATGCCTTTCAAAGATTCAAAAAATGATATGAAATGGTCCTCAAAATGAACGAGATAGTTGAAATAACGGAGCTGCTATTCTTTTCAGTCCTCAATCGCTCCTAGAAGCCAGTAATCAATAGCCTAGTTTGTGCCAGAAATTAAAGATACATTAGTTAAGAGTTTAATAAAGAGTTGGTCATTCTTGATATAACAGTTCAAAAATAGATGATAAAGATTTTATTAACACTGTAACCCAGGTATCATTGGACACCCGTTATCAAAATTAATCAGTCAGCTTTAAACTGGACACATGTACAAATTAGATGATTTTTGGTGATTTTAAAAGATTTTTACAAATTTTTAAACAATGATTTGATATTAAACGAATGTGAAAGAAATTAGTGCTGGATACACAAGATTAAACGATACCTGGGTTACAGTGTAAAGAGTTGACCATTCTTGATATAACAGTTCAAAAATAGGTGATCAGAAAAGAAAATATTGAAAATTTCAGTCAAATTACTTTATTCTTAACGAAGTTGTCTCTGTTGGAAGTTTGAACTAGAATTTAGATTATTTTAGGTTTATGTATATTTGTATAGTTGTTTAGAGTGTAGATTGTTTTAACGTTATGTATATCTTATTTCAGGTAACAAGTGATATAAAATTTGTGATAGATAATAAAGAAGTTTTTGTACATAAATGTATTTTAAAAATAAGGTAAGTTTACAATAAATTCATGCTGCATAAGTTAGGTAAACTTACGGTGTGGCAAGAGACAGTGTACCACATAAACTCTCAATTAATCAAAGCTGTTATATACTTATACATGAACTGGCTTGCAGTCTTGTTGATGTGAATAAAGCAAAAAAAAATAACAATTTCTGAAATAGTGTGCACAAAAATTTTACAGAAATGTACCACAATTTTTTTCATTTTCGTTTGGGCCTTTCAATGTCCATTTGGTCGGTACTAACATGGTTAAATTTTTAATTCAATAATATGCTTGCACGTAGGGGTCTTTAGCAGTGGGTGGAAACCGGAGAACCCGGAGAAAACCCACGAGGTTGGACAGGCGACCCGACACCTTGTCACTTTCAAGGATGGATTCGAAACCATGCCACTTGACTCAATGACCGACCTTGTTAGAAAATGTTTGTTTGTTTGTATTTATAGATGTGAACATTTCCGTTCCATGTTTCAATCCTGCTGGGATGAGGACGGAAAAGAGTAAGTTACCTTTATTTCCTTCTTATCAATGTGTTTAATTATATAGAACCTCGATCCCTGCATTGGCCGAGAAAGTTCATCCAGATTTTCCGGCGTGGTTCCCCCTTGTCAGTGTTGCAGGACGGAGGGCCTGACAAGGACAGCTGTCTAGTCATTCGGATGAGACGAAAAACCGAGGTCCCGTGTACACATTGGCGTGCACGTAAAAGATCCCTTGACAGTTGGAATTCGATATAAGAGTAGGCTGTAGTGCCGCTGTCCGGGCAAAATTTCCCTCATAGCACACTGTATGGTGTATGCCCGTCTTCATTAGCCCAGTTCGGAGCAAAACAGTAGGACGTTAAACCCCATTTCATTTCATTTCATTTATATAGAACCACGGTGGCTCAGTGGGTAAGACTTTGGCTCGCTAATCTGGAGGTCCTGTGTTCGATCCCTGTGTTGACCGAGAAAACTCACCAGAATTTTCCGGTGTAGTTCAGTGGTGCATGACGAATGGCCTGGCAAGGGATAGTGGATTGTCTTTTGGATGGAACAGAAAACCGAGGTCCTGTGTACACATTGGTGTGCACTACAAAGAACCCTTTGACAGTTGGAATTTGATATAAGAGTAGGCCTTATTTCCCTCATAGCACACTGTATGGCGTATGCCCGTCTTCATTAGCCCTGTCGGTGCAGAACAGTAGCATGTTAAACCCCATTTCATTAATAGATTATTTGATTTTATTGGAATGATGATACTCAAAAATCTCAGCAAACAGATCCGACAACTGCATCATTGTAGACTTTAAAGTGGTAATAAGCTTGTGCCATGGCAGTGGTTTGCAGAGAGGGGGGGGGGGTCCATTTTAGGGAGCATCCAATCAAAGAGTAAAATTAAAATTTATTTCTTTGAAATTATCACTGTTAATGCAAGCTGCCTTACTTAATTTGAATAAAGAGTTTTCTGAGTACTACTCAGTATTCAATAAAATGGTTTATCTATGTTCAATGTTTTTTTCAGATCTATACAAATCACACAATATTCATTTGTTGTATATAAAGCCTTTCTACAGTATTTATATACAGATACAGTTGATCTACGACCTGAAGATGCCATAGGTAACTTTTCTTCTCTAGATCTGTGTCTTTCTAATGTCACATGGCTTGTGGTACTCACATGGTCGGGGAACTAGACTTAATGAGAACGTCCATGGGAGGTTGTGGTTGTCATGTGATCAGACCCTGTGGTCAGGGAACTGAACTATCAATTAGAATGTTGGGTGGGTTGTGGTAGTCATGTGGTCAGGGAACTGGACTATCGATTAGAATGTCACGGGGTTGTGATAGTCAGGTTTGGGAACTAGACTATCGATTCAAATGTTGGCTGGGTTGTGATAGTCATGTGGTCATGGAACTGGACTATCGGGTAGAATGTCATCGGGGTTGTGATAGTCATGTGGTCATGGAACTGGACTATCGATTAGAATGTCACGGGGTTGTGATAGTCAGGTTTGGGAACTAGACTATCGATTCAAATGTTGGCTGGGTTGTGATAGTCATGTGGTCATGGAACTGGACTATCGGGTAGAATGTCTTCGGGGTTGTGATAGTCATGTGGTCATGGAACTGGACTATCGAGTAGAATGTCATGGGGGTTGTGATAGTCATGAGTCAGTGAACTGGATTGGGTTGGTTGTAGTAGTCATGTTAATGTGGCTGTAGTTTTATTGCCATTTCAGCAAATATGCCCAAAATGAGAGAGCTTGTTTAATATTTATATTTTTTTTATTAGGATTATTGGATCTTGCCAATGCTTATTGTGAACCAGCTTTAAAGAAGATGTGTGAATTGATAATCAAACAAGGAATAACCATCGAAAATGTTGCCATGTTGTACGCTGCTGCCATCAAATTTGAGGCCAAGGTTACAAGAAATCCTTTCTTATTGAATTTTAATATGGTGAAATCATGCTTGATGTTGTAAACTACGAGCCATTCTCGTATACAAGCATATTTCTATGTTCCTTATGTTACATTTCATCAAATTAATTACGCAATAGGGGATAGTTAACGTCAAATTAATTACACAGTTAAGGGGTTAAAGCTGTATCAAGCCACTGTGGGTTGTAGCCAATCTTCTGTGCTGATCTACCGTTGTGGAGAGTATATAAATAGTCATTGTCCACATCCAGCAACTCTCCTTTGGATTAAATATACTGCGTGGGCACTTCCCTGCAAAGACATGGAGTCTTATCCAAATAAGCTGGATCAAGATTATTTCGTGACTTCCTCTGGCAAGTTTCTTTGGAAACACTTCTACGATATCACTCTTGGTGGAAGTGGACGTAAAACTCCAGGAACGAACGAAGGAACGTACATCCAGCAATGACTCATGGTAACTCACACCTCAAAATGAAATGTAACTCTGTTTTAGCTGAACTCTGGAAAGATAAGTAAATGATATAACAACAACTTACATTGCTTCATTTTCTTTTTTCAGAGTCTGGAGGAATTCTGTTTCCGTTTCGCCATGAATCACCTGACAGAAGTTACCCAATCAGAAGCCTTTAACAATCTAGATGAATATGTATTGAAGGAGTTGATTCGTCGAGCTGCCCAAGCCGGTGCATTTAAATACTGAAAATCTTGTCAAAATTTTCATTGGGTCACTTAGCAATTTTAAGACAATTTACTGATATTTTATTTATTTAATCTTATTTATATGTGCAATATAACCAAACCAATTATACAAAAAAATATAAGCTTGTATACTTTATACTCAATAGAAAAGTTGTCAAACTGCAGCCAATATTTAATGTAAGTAATTATGTCAACATATCCTTTCCATAAGTAAACACGAACCTGAATGTCACTATTACCTGCAACAGGTAAATTTTGACGTTAGTAATTTTTGCCATTCTCTGTGGGTAGTCGTAACTTTCCGTCAATAGTAATTTTTGCCATTCTCTGTGGGTAGTCGTAACTTTCCGTCAATAGTAATTTTTGCCATTCTCTGTGGGTAGTCATAACTTTCCGTCAATAAACAGTCTGTGATGTCATTTTAGTCCCTGTGCTCATATTCTAGTCTATATTTCCATGACATCACAGACTTTTTATTGACGGAAAGTTACGACTACTCACGAAGAACAGCGGTAATTATTAATGTTCAAATTTACCTGTGGCAGGTAATATTGACATTCGGGTTCATGTTATACTTATGGAAAGGATATGTTGACATAATTACTTGCATTATTTAAACAAATTTGAAACTTTTCTGGTGACCTTTAATGTATTAGTTTAAGTAGCATCCAGCAAATCACAAAATCGTGATTATCGGCTGATTAATCTCTGCTACACTTGGACACAGTACCAATGTTACTTCTCATCTCTGACCGGCTCTAACTTTTTCCCAAATTTTCGTGAGGTTGAATGCTTTCTACCACAGTTGGAGAAACATGTGGCAACCCCTTGCTCAAAAGCATGGAAACCTTGAGATACACAAACTGAAAGTAGCATGCCAGTAAACATACAACTGTCCACCCTACATTTCAAACTAACCAAGCTCTTATCTCTTATCATTCCGCCTTAAGATCATGAATACTCAACAAAATCTGGCAGAAAATGTATATTCAACCCCTTTTCTTCGATTCTACAAAAAATGTCAATAAAAAAAATCACCAGGCAAAAGTTGGAAAAGGGAAACAAAGACTAAACACATCTTTGGTGCTGAAAAGTGGGAAGTTTAACCCCATTTCGTTTTTCTGCCAATGTAACTCAAGATATAGATGAACTATACATTTCCAAATCTGTTAGAATGGTGTTTAGTTGTTGAGATGGAGAGAAAAACCAAGGTATCCTTTATACCATTACCAATACATTAATGCTCTCCTGACAGTTGGAGTGGGGTTGGATGGCCAAATGGTTAGCACGTGCACGCAGCATCAAAAGATCTGTCATTGAGTCAACTGGCGTGGTTTCAATTCTCCGGTTGTACCTGACTAGGAGTATGGTCGTCTGTCCAATCTCGTGGGTTTTTTCCAGGTTCTCCGGTTTCCTCCCACTGCTAAAGACAACTTCGCACAAGGGAATTATTAAAATAAAATTGAAACATGTGTCAGTCCCTAAATGACCTGGTTTGTGTTGAATGGACGTTAAACCCCATCTCTCTCTCTCTCTCTCTCTCTCTCTCCCCCCCCCTCCCCGGACAGTTGGAAATTGAAACATAAATAGAATCTAGCCCTGCTGTTGGGACAAAATTTTCCTAATAGCACACTGTTGGTGTTGAAAAGTGGGAAATTTAGTTCCATTTCATTTTTCTGCCAACTCAATATAAATGTTCTATGCATTTTCAAATCTGATAGAATGATATTAAACAAACTGTTGTAAGTTTAGTACAAATTTACTACAGTAATTTCTATTGATTATTTGTGTTTAACAATTCAGAATGGAAATGAAAACAATACCCTATAATTGATGTTAAGTGTGGCAGTGATTAGTGAATAATCAATCGGACAATGTTTGTTACCATGGATACAGGAATATACTGTTCGGTTGATCAATACTAATTTTATTTAAAGTGATATATCCACAATGATTTTGATGATTTTATCGGCCTTGCATCAAGTGGATGATAGATTCAACATTGAATTGGTTGTTCTGAATAAATCTGTTGGTTGTTGTTTAATATAGCAATCTGATTAAAACACAGATCCTATTTCGTTTCGTTTTTTATAGTTCAAATATTTTTTTTACTTGTCTGCACAACACTTGGATCTGATGAGTTGTTATATAAGCCGCGTTCTCGTTAATGTGCGGGATTAGCCAATGAAACGGTCTGTTGCGGCGAGTTCTAGGCGTACTGTGTATGGAACTGTGGGTAAACCACTAGTAACATCAACGTTGGTTGATTAATCCATAGAAATATGGATTAATCAATATCTGACGTCATAGGGTCAAAAGCAGCTTGTATGAGAGAATGCTAGATCGGAGACAGTCCTGCACATATGACGTCATATTATGTGGATTTTGCATTAGGGTAAGGGTTAGACTTTGTCCAAGGTTAGGGTTAGTGCCAGCCCTGTTTACACCTCGAGACGTTGACGAAATCTGCAGGCCCTAACCCACAATCCACATATGACGATCTAGCGTTCTCCGCTCGCATGACCACTGACGCAACCTATCATTACAACCGGTCAGATCTTCATTTAGTGTAGGCCATCGAAAGTATAAAAAAAAAAAAACGAAACGAAATATAGATTTAATCAGATTGTTTCACACAGCTTATTGTTATCTTTTATACCGGTAATGATTAGATCTGATACAAAGTTTTTTCAATTAATTAATTAATCTAGTTATGTTTGTTTAGTTAATTTTTATGCCGATTTGTAACACTACATTGTAGTCTAAACAACTTTCGATCATCATGGGGATACTCGATTGAACGTTCCAGAATTAAATTCTCATAATTCCTAAAATGGTGTCAATAGAGTGAAAAGGAAAATTTCGGAATACAAGGCATGTGCCGACTGCATAAAAAAATATCTCAACCAATCATGACAGCTGAAACATATTTGTTTCTTAAAATATGTCGCAATTCTACTCACACCACCTCAGCTGTCGGGACTGGCAGAACTGTCACAGGGCTGAATTCAGTATCACTTGATTGGCAATTATGTCAATTCGGGACGTTCCGGACTGACAATCGACCATCCCCTACGATGTTGTCCCAGGTCTCCCAAGGAGAGTAACATTTAAGACAATTATATTCCAAATGTTTATATAACCCCTAAACCACCCAGAATCTTTCCTGTATCAGTTTCCCCCGTAATTTACAACAATACAAAGCCCTGCAAACTAATACAGACAATTTGATTAGTCAAGAAGTTTCTGCTATCTAAACGCCAACTTTTTAAGACAATGTGTCTGTATACCTCCCACTGCTTAAGATTATTGAAATAAAATTAAACCATATGTTAGTCCCGAAATGACCTAGTTTGTGTCGAGTGGACGTTAAACTCTCTCTCTCTCTCTCTCTCTCTCTCTCTCTCTCTCTCTCTCTCTCTCTGTATACTAGTGTAGACATACTGATAAGTCAAGAAGTTTCTGCAATCTGAACGCCAACTTTAAAAACAATAATTATGTAAGATATTAAGTTTCCCCATTATTCACATCAACAATACACAGCTCTGTGTTCCAAAAATAATGATTTGAAAAGTCAAGAAGTTTGTGCGATCTGATTGCTTACTTTAAAAAGCAAATAATTATGTTAGATATTAAGTTTCCCCATAATTAACATTAACAATTACACAGCTCTATAGACAATTGATGTGTCAAGCAGTTTGTGCAATATGAACTCGGGCTTTAAATACCATGTCAGATATTACCATAGTCCAACTTGAAATAAAAATTAAAAAAAACTTGATTGAGATATTAAGTTCTGTGCGGTCAGATTGCTTACTTTAAAAAGCAAATATGTTAGATATTAAGTTTCCACATACATGTAATTCACATTACCAATACATAGCTCTAGACAATTTGATTTTTCGAGCAGTTTGTGCAATATGAACTCGAACTTTAAAGACCACATAATTGATATTACCGTAGTCCAACTTGAAATAAAAATACGAAACATGATTGAAAGACACTTTAAAAAGTTAATAAATTCATGTGATCAGAACATTCGTTAATACAAAATAACCTAACAAACACATGATGCTTATCAAATTATTATAATAAATGATTATTTTATGACATATCTTATTTTAAACCACCATATTTCATGTATTTGTTCTTTATTTTTATGCTTTTCAATTTATATCATTCCAGGCCGTGAGTTCACAAAGCATTCTCAGACTAAAGTTAAGAATTTACTCAAAATTGTTCGCCTTATTTCAACTAAAATAGAGCCGTTTATAAAAGTTTTGTTGTTTTAATGTATCAAATACATCAATAAGAAACCATGTGCAAAGTTTTGTGTATCTGGATCAAAGATATTTCTCATAAACAGTGATTGAAAGTTGAGCAAATTCTTAACGTTAGTCTGGGAATGCTTTGTGAACTCACGGCCAGAACATTTTAGGTTATTTGTTATCAATGTTTTTGCTTTCATTATACCGTGCTATAATAACCCTGTAAATTATAAAGTGCTTTTGTTTTTTTTGCTCATTTGAATCATAGGATCTCATCTCATATTTAAACAAAACAAAATTTAAAATGATTCACAAGTTGTTTTAATTTCAGAATATTAAAAATACCTTTCAAAATTTTAGTCTTTTTTTTTAGGTACATGTGGTAGACTTAAAGTTGCTGATTCTGATCCTACTATTATCAGACAATGTCTAATTTGTCACGGCCTAATCCGCGGGAAAACACACTTAGATTATTTAATCTTTAAGTGGCATTTAGCGATTGGGAAACACATTAACAGAACACAGTTTTTGTGGGAAACAATCACGCGTTTTATTCTAAAAGCACGACGTTTCGACAAGTATCAAGCACAAAGACGATAAGAGGATAACGATAAGAGGATACTTGTCGAAACGTCGTGCTTTTAGAATAAAACGCGTGATTGTTTCCCATAAAAACTGTGTTCTGTTAATAGATTATTAAACTTTTAATTAAAGGGACCATCCCGATTTTAACAGAGTCTCAAAAATAAAGTCTGTGTACGTAAGAAATTTAAGTACCAAAATATAGAGGAATGGTGTATTTACCTTGACTAAAAATTTCAGCTCAAAATATTGAATCGTTTGGATGTGAACTAATATGAGTACTTTTTATCTTTGATTAAACCGTGAATATTAGATCATTGTCCGAAAAATGTAAATGACGATCATCGAATTTAAGGTGTTTTTGCCTCCCTCAAAAAAAATTCTAATGCCATAGTTTAAATTAACTGGTTGTGTTAAAATGACTTATTCCTAGATATGTAGCTTGTTTTGTGAGTAGGACTTGGATCGAAAGCTGAACTCATTTTGACTTGAAATCGTGGTACAAACATTGTTAACTCATCCGCGAATCTAGTTTCTTAGATTTTAGTTTATAAATACAATTTCATTTTTTTTTATATGGTAATGGAACCTAGAAAAAGTGAGAAATATCTGAAGTACTATTTTATCTGAAGTTTGAGTTTAGCATTTAGGTATTGTCAATTGTGATGCCTGGGTTGGTACTGTCTGGACATCGTTAAATATGATGCTGTGGGCTTAATGAAGAAATAGTCCAGTGAATGTGTATTTTTATTCAAAATTTCAAAGCTTTAAATTTTGGAACCTCTCTGAAAAGCAAACAAGTACTTTTTGTTTTTTAAATTTTTCTGCCAAGAAATAAAATGCAAAAAAATTGGAGTGGCCTTACTGCCAGTAAATTTCACCCGTTTTGCCTAAAATGAGTTATCACCATCCCTGGTCGTGATATAAGATACTGAATGAATGTGTGGAGCTGTATTTAATTTGAATATTACCACAAATGTTAATGTATATGTATATTAGAATAAGAATTATATTTAAGTCGAAGGTAGTCAGTGTTTAAGACTACTAACAGTGTCAGGCAGGGAAGGACAGAGGATGCCATGGTCCAGTTATTGCTAAATGATAAGGCCAGCTCAATTTTTTGTCAATGGTCACATGATGTAAACAGGACTAACCCTAGACCTAGCCCCAATGCTTACCCTAACCCTAACCTACGATCTCGCTAACAATCACGTGCCCTAACCTTGTTTACATCTCAGCGACCTTGACGAAAATTGATCTGGCCTTAACAAATAGATTTAGCCCCATGGTCCCGTGCATCATTTTAGGAGAGTAAAAATTGAAATTATTGCTGTTAACTTGGTCTTCCTTTCTCAAATTTCTCAGTACTAGGCAATTTACTCTAAGGGCATGCCATTGAGGAGTTGGCCCGTGAGATCTAAATATTAAGGCCAACTGCAGATTTTGTCAAGGTCGCGAGATGTAAATATGGTTACGGCACGTGATTGTTGACAGGATTGTGGATTAGGGTTAGCACTAGTACTGTTTACACCCTGTAACCTTTGACGAAATCTGCAGGTGGCCTTAATATTTAGACCTAACTTATCCTAGGCTTCACCACTGAACACAGAAGTTAATGTATTATATAGTATGTGTGCCTGTTGTTATGTATGTGAAGCTTGTTATTAAAACATTAAATGTAGTTAACAGGTGCGAGTGGTGGATTTAGTTGGGCAAGGGGGTGGGCATACCGCTCCCCCAACCCAGATTTTAACCAAAATAAAGTTATTTTAAGTTGCTGCTGTTTGTTCTGTTAATCAGTTGCCCTGACAGTTGGAAATCGGAAGTATAGCAGGTCGGTCACTGCCTGGACAAAATTTCCCTACTCATAGCACGCTATGCATAACGTATGCCCATGGTCCCATCTCCATGAACCTGATTTGTGCAGACGAATGTTGCACATACTCTTGGGCGCTAAAAGGATAAACATTTGGTGTTTGTTATAGTCATGTGGCGGAAACGCGAGTTTCATCACCCAAGCGGACAGTTATAAGGCTCAGTTGAAACCTGGGGGGGGGGGATGACCAAATGGTTAGCTTGCGCGTTGTATTAGGTCTGTCACATCCCAAACTTAGGCTGCCTATCTACAGCTAGCTCCGGCTGAGAATAGGGAAGTATGACGTAGATGGGTCGCTGCGTGCAGTATAAACAGTGTATTTTAGTTAATTGCAAATCGTCGTCTGAATCTGTTTTGTCATCTGGGGTTCCCCAAGGTTCTGTTCTTGGTCCGATTTTATTTACCCTCTATACGTCACCATTAGGAGACATTGTCAGAAAATATGGTCTCGGCTTTCATTTGTATGCCGATGATACTCAATTATATATTTCATTTACACCTAATTGTCCATCTTCTTTCAATTTATCAAAATTGCAACTTGAGAACTGTATTAGTGAAATTAGAAAATGGATGTCAAAGAACTTTCTAAAATTGAATGATGATAAAACCGAATATTTGTTATTAGGCTCAAGGCACCAATTAAGTAAATCTGCACAAGATACCCCCCCTGTTGTAATTGGTAATTGTGATATATATTTTCATCTTATTCTGCTCGTAATATTGGCGCTATCTTTGATAGTTTTATGCTTATGGGAGCTCAAGTAAATAATATTTGTAAATTGTGCTATTTTAATACTAGAAATATAGGTAAAATACGTAAATGTGTAACTGTAGAGGCCACTAAGTCACTTGTTAATTCTCTGGTCACTCTCGATTAGATAACTTTAATTCACTTTTAGTTGGTTTACCTTTAAGCTTAAAGATAAATTACAAAAAGTACAGAATACTGCGGCTAGACTTGTTACTTTAACTAAGAAATGTGACCACATAACTCCTGTTTTATATAATTTACACTGGTTACCTGTTAAATATCGAATTGATTTTAAGATTTTATTACTTACTTTTAAATGTTTAAATAATTTAGCTCCTGTTTACCTCTCAGATCTTTTAGAACTTTATACACCTGGCCGAACATTACGTGCATCAGATAAACTACTTTTAAAGCCCAAAACTGTTCAACTAGTCTCCTATGGTCAGCGCTCTTTTAGTTATCAAGCACCTGTTTTATGGAATAATCTACCATTTAGTTTAAGATGTTGTACATCTCTGTATTCTTTTAAAAAACAACTTAAAACACATTTATTTAATCAGGCTTTTAACTGACTCTGTATACAATCGTTAACATGCCCATAATCTTGTTGTTTATGTGTGATTTACATTGTCACTTTGTAAAGTGCCTCTGAACATGTTATATGAAAGGGTGCACTATAAATATGCTGTAATAATAATAATAATAATAGTATGGGTTGGTCATTGAGCCAGCTGGCGTGGTTTCAATTCCTCGAAGGAGTAGGGTAGCTTGTCCAACCTCGTGGGTTTTCTCTGGGTGCTCCGATATCCTCTCACTGCTAAAGACCCATACGCGCAATCGAATTATTATTGAAATGAAATTGAACCATATGTACGCCCGAAGTGACCTGGTTTGTCTCGAGTTGGCGTTACCCCCCCCCCCACACCCTTCTCTCTCTCTCTCTCTCTCCCCATCTCTCTCTCAGTTGAAGACTACTTTTGCTGCCTATAAAACCATAAAATCCGGCCATAGTGTGACAAGAATTGTAATGTGGACAGGGTCGCCGAACGCCGAATATCGATAGGGTCCGTACGCGTATGGTCCCAATTCATCAAACCAAATTAAAAACAACCTGTTTAAAATTAGGAGGGGGAATGAGTATACACTCAGGACCTTCTGGTCGCGGAGCACTGAAAATCGATAGGGTTCATCGTCTTTTGACCCCAAAATGTTTCACTGTGGTCTCATTCGCGTTAGACGGACAGGGGGCCAAAACAGTTAATAAAGCATAAAAGTTATATAATTTATACAAATAGATATTTAATGACGAAATGCGGTAACAAGTGAAACAGACATAATATGTGTTTACAACTATAAGTAATGGTATCTACAGGATATTTCACAAGTCCCATAAAAAGTACAAACATATATAATTTCAATAGACTTCTGTTGCTTTTTTAAAAGCCTTCCATGAACAAATTTAAACTTAAATATTTGCGTGAAGTATTATATCCTTATATTCTCCGATTTTATTTTTATTTTCTTTTGTTTTTTGTTGTTTGGTTTTTTTTTGGAAGGGGGGGGGGGCTGTTGAACGGAAGAAAACATATTTCATATTGTAATTTCAATTAATTGCTGGTGGTCAAAAGCATTCAATAAATAAATTTAGACCTAATTATTTGCGTGGAGAATTATATTCTCCAGGGGCTTGGGGGTGGGGGTGGGGATGGGGTCAAAGGAAGAAAGCACACAAAAATTAAATTCTTCATCTCTTCCCAAACTTCCTCTTAGAAGGACATTTTGAAAATCAAAAATCCATTTAACAATATTATCATAAATATAACAGATTTACATTAACAAGCGTTTGCCTTTCAAGGTACGCCCACATTTTGCAAGGTAACGACAGAGAACAGGCTACTTTTTCATACAATGAGATCTTTGGGATATAAACATATTTTAAGTCCCATCAAAATCTGATAAAAGTTGTGACCTCTTGAGACTCCACATCCTTGGTATTATATGCCTATACTATTTGCGTAAAGGGGATCGGATATTTTCTCAGACAGTCGTGGACAGATTTTTACAAAATTCGAACTAAACCGTCCATACGGTGTAGCGGTGATACATTTGAACGGTTTTTAAAGTCGGGTAAATATTATGACCTCCAGAGGGACCATAAGATAAAAACATGATTTTTCGTACAAAATCCATTAAGTTACGGTCTGATATGCACGAATATCGAAAGGAACCAGATTTTTGGGATATAAACATATCTTTCAAACTTTATGAAAATCCGATAAAATTTGTGACCACTAGAGGGACCACAATGTTGGTAAGTATAACATACTTTTACACTATTCGCAAACAATGAGCGACCATTTTGTCGGTCAGTTTCGGTCCGATAATCATGGTGTAACAGTGGTATATTTGAACGGTTTTTAAAATTGGGCAAGAATTGTGACATTTAGAGTGTCCACAAGCTAAAATCGCTATTTTTCGTACAATCAGGGGCCATAATCCAGGCAGTTACGGTCCCATATGTGCAAATATCGACAGGAATCGAGGCCTTTGGGGTTTAAACATACATTTTAAGTTTCATCAAAATCGGATAAAAATTGGGACCTCTATGGGGTCCACAACCTTGGTATTACATGTTTTAATCACTGTTTGCACATGAGGAGTGGCTATGTACCGTCGGCCACTCAATCGTCCTTACAGTGTAACAGTGATATACTTGAACGTTTTTAAAATAGGATAAAACAAAATTTTGACCTCTAGAGGGCCCACAAGATACAAAAAAGGTGACTTTTCGTACAACCATTGAGTTACGGTCCATATACACGAATATCGAAAGGAACCGAGATCTTTGGTATATAAACATATCTTTTATGTTTAGTGGGTAGAAATTGTGACCTGTAGAGTGTTCACAAAAGAAATATGAACGGACACACGGATGGGCAGACGGGCGGGCTGGGCGACGACAATATACGTCCACATGAAAGTGTGAACGTATAAAAAATATATATATTAAAAACATCACAGTTTAAATATCAGCTGGTTTTAAAGGAGAAGTGCAGGGATCTTAAACTCGAAATGAAAACGAAAACGAAAGACTGTATAATGTCAAAGTTCATCTTTGTCAGCCCCTATAATAGGCCCACTACATTGTCTTCCTCGACATTTCATTGGCTTCAGACCGGAAGTTCTGTAGCAAATTGTTGTCATGGTGTTTAGACTCAATCATCTCGATCATCCAGTAATACGGTAGCCTTAATATTACCAAGGGTAGATAACTGTAGCGGACCTCAAGGCAAAGACGGTTGACATAGTGTCGTAAGTAAACAAAATACATTCCGCGAAACAGAATAAGACAAAACTAAAAAAAAACGAAAATAAAAGTGACATGTCGTTGAATAAAAACATAACTCAAATTAAATATTCCAACAATGTCTCTTTAAATCTTTGCACTCCTCCTTTATGTGTATAAATAATTATGTGTAATTATGTATTGTTTAATGGTCGAGAGCGAGACATCAAGTAATATATTGTAACAACAAGAGGGCCGTGAGGCCCGAGTGTTTTTACATTATATTACGCAATGTCTTAAGCTCGAGACCATTAAACAATTTAAAATACAGACACTCCGCGCGTGCTTTTACAGTGAAATACGTCACACGAGTCCAATATTTCACTAGTATAAATAATGTACGATTGGCAAGTTGCCCGTACGATTATTTGAAATAAAGGTACGCCAACATCAAAGGGTGACGTCACATCTGTATTTTAAATGTAAATAATGTGTAATTCAGATTATACCAACAATTTATTCCCTTTGATTTTCCTACTTCACATCTTTGTCTAAGTCTAAAGATAGCGGTTTATGGAAGAGGCTAATTGTAGGCCGGTTGGGGAAGTTCGGCCGTTCGGGTATTTCCGGAGTTCAAAATATAAAAGGCGTGGTTTAATGGACGGAATATATAAAACTGGGCGTGGTTTAATGGGTGGAATGATTATTCATATCACAAGAGCATATATATATATATATATACAAAAGATAGATGCTCAGTAGCACCAGAAATGTCCCGAATATCGCTACAGACATTTTAACACAGTTTACTGTTAGTATCACAAAAGCATTATTAAAAGATAGTAACTACTCAGGTTACACACAAGAAACGCCCCGACAATATGACGTCATACTTATAGGCTGTGCACCCCTTAACACATGTGTATAGAGATGAAAACGTATCCCTTTACTTGTGTGCGAGAGTCGCGTAATTATCAACGGTGCCCGCATATTAAAAAAATTGAATGTATAATTAATATTCATATTCTCTGGGAAAGATGAGGGGGGGGGGGGGTGTATGAAACTCGAAAGAATGTCTGCTTGGTGGCAAAATTCACCCGCGAGATCTTTTTAGGATTACATGTCAGCGACCACCGATCATCTCTCCCCGCGCCTTATCCAGATCTGAGCGTTTCTTGTGTTACTGGATAATATTCAATATATTTCGTAAAATAAATAATTTATATACATAACTACCATTACCAACTGTAATTAAAATGGGACTGTCTTTCCTGCTTTTATTGCAGAGCGTAATATAAAAAAGAAACATAGTAGGCGTATCGCTAACTTTCATTTTGCTAGTAAGTCTGAAATATTTTTAAACATTGATAAAATGTACGACGAAATAAAACAAAATATCGAATATCACATTAATAATAGAGATATATTTTCAAGGATTTGCTGGGATATTTTACCACCGGTTGCATGTATAAAACGAATTTAGTGAAATAGAAAAATACAAATTTATTCGCTTTTCCCGTCATTCAATTGATAATGACACCACGCGTTTCTACGTTAGCCTGGTTGACCGCGATGAGTTAGCGAGGAAGTCACTGGTTTATCGCTAGAAAGTCAGTGGTTCATAATGACATGATAGCAAGAAAGTTACTAAGTCACGCGATGCGATAGCAAGAAAGTTACTGGTTTTTCGCGATGACTTAGAGAGAAAGCGAGAAAGTTACTAAGTCACCGCGATGCGTTAGCAATAAGGTCACTGGTTTTCCGCGATGACTTAGCGAGAAAGTCACTGGGTGTCCGCGATGAGTTAGCGAGAAAGTCACTGGTTGTCCGCGATGAGATAGCGGGAAAGTCACTAATTCACCTCAATGGGTGAGCGAAAAAGTCAATAATTCACCGCGACGAGTTAGCGAAAAAGTAACTACATGTAATTCACTGCGACGAGTTAGCGAGAATGTCACTGGTTGTCTGCGATGAGTTAACGAGAATGTCTGTACGTCACCGTGATGAGTTAGATAGAAAGTTATTGGCTTATCGCGGTGAGAAAGCGAAAGGGTCATTTGCCGTTTCGAGTGAATATCCATAACGCTAGACGAATTCTAACATTTTTGCAGCGGCACAGAACTGATACAGATAGTCTGTACAGCTTCAACAACAGCAAACGATTCCGTTTGACCGGTAAAATAACAAGACTGAAGCGTCTATGAAAACGTTTCAGTGTGTATTTTTGAATCGCAAAAATGTTAAATTTTGTCCCACTTTTTTTTCACAAGGCTACACCATTTCCCTGAACGAAATTCACGGATATTTGACGTAGACTGGGATTTAATTTTAATGAGATCTTTTCGATATTTAAGAATTATAGCAGATTAGCACTAACTGTCCACTTATCCCAAAATGGATGCCGAAAGCGAAAATATTCGTCATTTTTTTTTTCTATCACCTTTCCCTCAAATTATTAATTAATAATTCACCATATAATATTTTGTCAATGGTGATAATGATAAATGTAATTATTATTGTCATAAGTTGCTATGGAAACGTGTGTACACAAAGAACATTGACAAGATAGCAGTTATTATGAGAGAATATTGCGTTGTGTGATGTACAATAGAACCACCTGCTTTCAACTGGTCAAGGTCATTGCAGAAATTCTTATTACAGCACGTGGATATTTCGAACCAAGTATCAACCGTCATCATTTGCCAGTCGCACGTGCTTCTTGTGTCACATCGTGCCTCAACGGATCTGTACGTCTCGTTAAATGTGGCGCGAATCTGAAAATATAAAGAAATAAAGAAATAAGAAATATTCAAAAACTAAACATAATTCCCACGCCTACAGCCATCGGGGTGGGATACGAAAAACACATATTTTATTACGGAACTAACATATGGTTCAAATTTATTTCAATAGTTCGATTGCGCGTAGGGGTCCTGAGAGCTGTGGTAGGAAACCGAAGGACCCAGAGAAAACCCAGGAAGTTGCACAGGGGTCTTTTTCACAAAATTTTAACTAAGATAAAATCCAAATTTTAGTAATTTGATTGGAAAATATTAGATTGATTTTAGTGCTTAGCCAATCAAAATTGAAGTATCTACTAAAATTTGGATTTTATCTTTGGTTAAGATTTCGAGAAACAGGGCCCTGGTGACCATACTCCTTGTTACATACAATCGGGGAATCAAAAGCACACACGTGACTCAATGACAGACCTAATGATCTAACGCACACACGTTAAGCCATTAGCCCCCCCCCCCCTTAGATAATTAGATCTACCATGATGCAAATGTCATAGCCTATTATTGTACGTGGTAGAATCGACAGTCTACAGAAATGAAATGAAATGGGGTTTAACGTTCTACTGTTCTGCTAATACTGGGCTAATGAAGACGGGCATACGGCAGTGTGCTATGAGGGAAATTTTGCCCGGGTAGCGTTACTATGGCCTACTCTTATATCGAATTCCACCTGAAGCGCCAACACCCCCCCCCCCCCCTAGATCTACCTTTGATAATCGAGTTGCAAAGTTCGACGTTACATCAATGTCGCGGTTTTCGTGGAGGTCGCCATGTTTGATTTGAGTGTTTTTGTGTCACAACCTCTGATGTTTCTTTACTCCCCCGCCCCACCTCTGTCGCGGTGAAGAATCATAGAAAACTAAACTACATGTAGCCTAATTCACCTTATATGTAGATCATTATTCTATTAGACGCGAAGATGCCTTGTGTCAATTTTTCCACAGTGGGGAAGTAAACAAACGACTTTAAAGACACTTGCTGTGGACCACTTCATTAATTAGTGAAAAATGGCGTAAATAATCAACTAGATAACCACGTCAATTAACGTTGATCACGAAAAGTCAATGTCTCTATGGAATTCTATCTATGTTGTGCTATATTTAATAGATAGTATGTAGATTGTATTCCCAGCGTCACTAAATAAAATATACAGTAGTCATAAACTCAACACCTAGCTACTAAATATCAAGTCTCCCTGTTTGGATCTGTTATCTTTAGCCCAGTAGGTATAGGAAGCAGGGCATTAAACCCCATTTTATTTCATTTCCCTGTTTGGGTCGACAAGCAGAAAATAGTAAAAGAACGTTACTCAAAATGAATGGACGGTTCACCGATAGCCGGAAAGCGCGAGACATGGTATTCGCGATGATCGAGGAATCTGATAGGCTTCTTAGCTGGGTCAGTAGCCAATCGAAATTAGCGTCGAAATATGCAGGGTATTACTTGAAGGGCTTGTATTGAAGATGATGACTCTATGTAGCCTATGACTAGGCTCTAAGTAGGCTATACTTACGTAACATGAACCTGTTGTTGAACACTGACTGTTGACATCAGTTGTATTGAAAGCCTGTAAACAATCTGTACCGGTACAACTTAACTGATTACACAGGACCTACAATAGGAAATATAATACAATTAAACATACATTATGCAAGGGCTAAATCTGCCTATTGCAGGTCTTTCTTTAGGCCTGAAAAGTTATATAAACTATTAATTAAACATTTATTAACAAAACAAGACCATAATCAACTCTAGATGGCATCTTACTTTTCTGCACCAACCGTGCTAATGGTGACTGGAATGGAGAGAGTGAGGAGTGTGTTTGTGTGTGTGTGTGTGTGGGGGGGTAATATCCACTTGACACAAACTAGGTCATTTCGGGATTAACATATGGTTCAATTTTATTTCATTAATTCGTTTGCATGTAGGGATCTTTAGCAGTGGGAGGAAACCGGAGAGTTTGGACAAGCGACCCTAGTCCTTGTCACGCATAAGCGGGGAATATAAACCACGCCACTTGACTGAATGACAAACCTTATGAAGCAAAACGCGCATGCGTTAACCATTCGCCCCTCCAGATGATTGGAATACGAAACATCATTTATTTGTAGCGGTGAAACCTGATGGACCGGAAGATTATCTAGCGTTGATATTTTGATTCTGTGTTCTTAATCAAATGTAAAACAACCAGAGAGAGAGAAATGGGGTTTAACACATTTCGGGACTAACATATGGTTTAATTTTATTTACATAATTCGCTTGCGCGTAGGGGTCTTTAGCAGTGGGAGGAAACCGGAGGACCCGGAAAAAAACCACGAGGTTGGACAGGCGACCCTACTCCTTGTCGTAAAACAACCAATCCGAGGACCTATTTAGTTTGTATAAAGGCGTAATGAGAAATTTGATATTTAATTCAAGCCAAATGCAAATGACGCACCGAGTCTTTAATTAACGAATTGGATAAAACATTATTGCTTGATAAAGACGAGAGTGTCCTCGTCGAAACGTCGCTTGGTATTAAACTCAGTAATTGTGTATCCATACAATTGTATCCTTTGTTTAATATTATGGATGTTTCAATTATTCCATACTTTTTTTTAGACTGGCTCATTACCTTCAAGAAAATTGTATATTTTTCTGGTAAATTCTGAACTTACAATAAAACAAAAACTATATCAGACGGGTAATAAATCATTTCACTATAACAAACCGTGGCTCTGAATAGGGGGGGGGGGGGGTCCAAAAAAAAGGCCTATTTTGTTACATTTTAAGTAAATAACTTACCGTCGCTGGACCAACTGTTGTACTGGCATCAACACCTCCTTAAAAAAATAAAATTATTATTATTAAACACGCAAATCTTCATAGGTATCACATCACCCATGCATATTTTAGGATCAGGAACTGGGCTACAAGCGCTACTCACCGACAAAAGCTACTTCAATTCATGCACGATCGATATGAAACTTTGTAAGCTATTAATACGGCTATATGTCTATAGAGGTTATTTAACTTCTATGAATGGTGTTCTGCTTAATGAACGGAAGTCGTTACCTACAAATTGGTGGCAGCTACCTTTACGTCAATGGGCAAACATCAGGTCAAAGGTTTCCGGTCATCTGGTATAGTACAGCTTAATCCACTTAAAATTATGAAATAAGTTTGAAGTAACCGGGTTTTCAAATGAAGCACTTACCAAAATAGCTGTAATAGCCCCAATAGCTGACGTTTTTCAACTTTTTATATAAACAGAATAACGCAATAAGATTCTTTAGACATCATGCAAGGTTTGAGATAGAGACATCAATTGAGGCCGGAATAGAGACATAATCTAGATTTATCAAGAAGCGCGTGGCTGTCTACACCTTTAGGACTATATGGTATATTCAGGCAATTTACAAGGTTCAGTGAAGACATCAAGCAGGGTTCTTAAGGGCGTGCCCATAGCCTCTAGCTCGAAGCTGGGATAGGTTCATCACACAGAGTTCCTAGAGAGACAAACCTTTAGTGGCCTGGATAGACACAACGGAGACTTAAAAAGAACTCTCGCCACAGAACATACGCTAAGTGATAGGAAACGTATATTTAGCTTACATAAAATGTCATAGCTGTGTGTGTAGTTTCCTTTATATAACCTTTGTATTGTGGATTTTATAAAGATATATAAACATAGTTATAACAACATAGTGTTCCGGAGCTAATTGATCATTGAGTAAAAACAGTACACAACGTGAAGTTCGAGACGAAAGGGAAGATGTGGTACAGGATACGTGTCACCACAGTGTCACATCTGTCATTTTCGACTATCTTGACTAGGACAGTGTCACAAGCTTGTTCCTTGAACAATCGCTCATCGATGTTTGATATGCCGTCACAATTCCAATAATGGCTGCGATGACATCATGTTCTGTTCCTGTAAGCAAATCGAAATTAACAAACTTTTCCGTCCCTAAATTGAAATGAGAGAGAGAGAGAGAGAGAGAGACGGGATTTAACGTCCAATCGACACAAACTAGGTCTTTTCAGGACTAACACGTGGTTCTATTTAAGTTTAATAATTCGCTTGCGCGTAGGGGTTTTTAGACGTGGGAGGAAAACGGGGGACCCGGAGAAAACCCACGAGGTAGGACAGGCGACCTTACTGCTCGTCACGCACAACCAAGGAATCGAAATCACGACAGTTGACTCAATGGCGGACCTAATGATACAACGCACACGCGCTAACCATTCGGTCACCCAATCCCCCTAATTTCAAACGATTTTATCTTCTCAGAAAACCACTGTGGCCCCTACGGCTTATTCCCAGTGATAGCTCTAAGGTAGCCTATCCTTATCATTCAGGAATTTAACTGTTTAGGGTTAAGGTTTTAAAAAAATCAGTGGCCGAAACGTCACACACTTCTTTTCTTTATTTTGGCTTGTCATGGATAGACCGATGTTTCAGCAACTGGGGTAAAATAGGAGCTATGACGCTTAGGGCATCATGACAATGGGGGCATAACAGAATGTCTGCTTTAGAAATTTAGAAATTAATTTAGAACTTTCAATTAGTTATTTTTATTGTTTTGGGGTTTTTCATACTATTACCTTGATTAATAATGACGTGTATAAATAAAATCACGTGATTGGCGGTTTTCTGTGGTTTACTTTTTGAATTACAAATATTTGGGGTTACCGAAATCTTTTAACTGCTTAGGGCCTCTGCGGGTCTTAATCCGGCACTGCTAGAACCTATTGCTCGATTATATAATAGCTTCTGGATTTTCCAAGGCCAAGGGTATACCGACATTTGGGACACGAAGGTTAAGGTCAGAGTTAGTACGTGCCGAATATAACAATACTAATCGGCGGCCGTGACAAAATGGAAACGGACGAAAGTAATGTAAATATTGGAAACAAGTGGCTATGATATCGTTTTGTGGGAGTATTTATGCAAATCAAAACGACTAGATTGAAGAAAAAACATATCTGAGTGAATCGACAGAGGTTTGATTGCCTGACATTACGAATTGTTGAAAAAAAACGAGCCGAAGCGAGGGCAGGTAAAATCGAGTCTTCAACAGGCATTGCATACCTGTTCTTTTTTTTACTGTATATTGTCTGGTTGGACATGGTGTATGCATATATATATATATATATATATATACGGATAGAAGGTCAGACTCCTGTGCCTGAATCTTCCATATTATCACCGGTTATTTTCTTACCTGAACCCTCGACATTATCGTCGGGAACTGCACGTCTGTATCTGGCAAGGGGTTGCTCATCAAACGGTATCAGTGACTCAGATTCAAATATGTTAGATACTTCTTCTCTCTTCTGTGTTCTGTACGCTTGTTGGGGAATAACTGGTTCTGGAGGAATTGGGGCCACGACCGGGACTGGTAAAAGACGACTAACTACCGGAAGAGGCTGCTGTTTTCTTTTTATGACTGTTGGTCGTAGAGGCATAAGGCCCTCGGTTCCAAGCATGTACGCTTGCTGGTGGATAACTGGTTGCGAGGGAATTGGGGCCACGACCGGGGCTGGTAAAGGACGCCTTACTGCAGGAAGAGTCTGTGGTTTTCTTTTTATGACTGTTGGTCGTAGAGGCATAAGGCCCTCGGTTTCAAACATGTCTTCCACATAACCCACATGAGCCCCACCTGTTAAAAATAAAACAGTAATTTAAAACGAAATGTAAGCTGTTGTGATAAAAAAAAAAGTCCGCTGCATGCGACTAGACTAAAATGCGATTCGATAATACGTTCTATTAAACGGCGCTTTCAAAGAACCCCTTAACATCAGCGGACCTTGATTAAGTTCCCACAAACTAGCCGGTATGAGATTCAACGTTTCGTCAACATAACACTTCGGTTATGTACAATGTGAGGTAGAAGAATTGTGCTCGTATAGAGGCGCCTTGCTTATTTGTAATCGAATTCCGCGAAAGGTTCTTGTAAAAAAAATAACTTCACAAGTGGAATTCGCTGAGGTGTAGGGCAACTTTTTCGTGTCGTACACCGAATGGCATATGTACGACGTGCGACGTTAAATCTCATTTCATTTCCTGTTGTTCTTAACCGACTGCTGCCCAACCTCGTGGGTTTTCTCCGGGCCCTCCGGTTTCCTCCCACTGCTGAATAAAATTAAACCATAAACCATATGTTAGTTCCGAAATGACCTAGTTTGTGTCGAGTGGACGTTAAACCACCCCCTCTCTCTCTCTCTCTCTCTCTCTCTCTCTCTCTCTCTCTCTTAACCGACTGGGCTAATGAGGACGGGCATACACCATTTCGAAATCCAACTGTCATTACAATGTGTACACGGGACCTCGTTTTTTTCATCCGATCTAAATGACTATACGTTTCCCGATGAGCTTTCTCGGCCAACGTAGGGATCGAACACGGGACCTCCGGTCAGCGAGCCAACTTCCTACTCACTGAGCCACAGTGGCTCCCCATATAATTAGCAGAGGGTGTTATTGCTATTGTGTAGGTCATCCTTTATAAAATTACAAGTTAAAATATAACACCGCGTACTGTAACAATTACAACCCTACGGATCAATAACGGTAAGTGGAACTATTTAGAAATTATAGCCCTACAAATCACTTACGGTAAATGGGGCTATTTAGAAACTATTTTGAAAATAATAATATCTAATCATGAATACTATGTTGTATGAATCAAATGGTTGTTTAGTTATAGGACTACTATAATCGGATTCCGTATTGAATTTAACAAAAACGAGTCATTTTTTGTAATTTCCAGTTCCCAATTGTTATAAAACCTTTTGTTTTAATGGGGTTACTCTTGTCAAGTATAACAGTTCTTCAGGAACAGCAATTGTAAGCGAAAACCTAGAGAACCAAATGAACTGATTTATTCATTCTTTTGGACGTAATTATTATCAAAACTGATTTTTCAGACGCCTTCTCTTATTATATACCCAAAAATAATGCAAACTTCCGCTCCCGATATAATACTGTGTAGTCATAGAAAAACAACAGTATCTAGCAGGAGGCTTCGTAAACAAAAATGAAATGAAATGAAATGGGGTTTAACGTCCTACTGTGCTGCTCCGATTGGGCAAATGAATACGGGTATAGCCATACAGTGTGGTATGAGGGGAATTTCGCTCGGACAGCGGCGCTACCGCCTACTCTTACATCGAATTCCAACTGCCAAGGGACCTCGGTTTTTTGTCCCATCCGAACGACTAGACAGTTGTCCTTGTCTTAGTGAACAAGGCCCTGGCTCATTAACAGGTAGATACCGGGTTCGATCAAAGTGTTGACCGAGAAAGTTCCTCATGATCATTCAGGGTGCTTTCCCCTTGTCGGTCCACCTCGTGGGTTTTCTCTGAGTCCCCAGGGTTCCTTCCATTACTAAAGACCCCTTACACAGAAGCGAATTATTGAAATAAAATTGTACCAGATGTTAGTCCCGAATGACCTAGTTTCTGTTGAGTGGACGATAAACCCAATTTCTCTCATATGTACTGTCTCTGTGAAAATATTCATGTAATAAATTTTACTTACCAGTAAGTTGAGAAATGTGGATGGCGAAGAAAAGAAGTAATTCGAAATACTTCATACTACTTTACACCATATATTTGAAGCTAAAACAGAAATAAAAAAACAACCCAAAAAACAATGAGTCACGTCGAAGACCAATATTCCGATAAATTTTGCAGCAGTCATTTTAAGGGTTCAATAGTAAAAGTGTAAAAGGGTGGTAATATCGCCTTTACTATTACAACGTTATAGATGATCACAGTTACTGTTAGAACGTTATAGGTGATCACCGTCACTGTTATAACGTTATAGGTGTACACCGGCACTGTTATAACGTTATAGGTGATCATCGTCACTGTTACGTTATAGATTATCCCCGTCACTGTTAAAATAGGTGATCATCATTACTGTTATAACGTTATAGATGATCATTGTTAGAATGTTATAGGTGATCACAGTCACTGTTATAACCTTATTGGTGATCATCGTCACTGTTATAAGGTTATAGATCATCGCCGTCACTGTTAAAATAAGTGATCATCATCACTGTTATAACGTTATAGGTGATCCGTGTCACTGTTATTAAATTATACATGTAGATGCCCACTGTTATAACGTTATAGATCATTGCCGTCACTATTATAACGCTATAGATCATCACTGTCACTGTTATAACGTTAACGTTACAGATCATCACCGTCACTGTTATAACGTTATAGATCATCACTGTCACTGTTATAGCGTTATAGCTGAACAATGTCACTGTTATAACGTTATAGGTGATCCCCGTAACTGTTATAACGTTATCGATCATCACCGTCACTTAATAACATTATAGATCACCGTCACTGTAACAACGTTATAGATGGTCACTGCCATAACGTTAAAGATGACCCTCGTTACTGTTCTAACGTTAAAAATGGTCAACGTAAATACGTTACAGATTATCATCGCCAACGCAATAACTGACAAGTGTATATTGCGGTGAGACTGGATGGGACGAAAACCGATGTGTTCATCTGAAGACATCGTATTATATAAAATAATCACAAATATATATTTTGAATATTCTTACAAACACCGAACGATAACTGCACAACAAGACACAGACAAAACAAACACCGCACGATAACTGCACAAGGCACAGACAAAAGCAACAATACCCGAAGACGGCATAAGAAACATAATAAACGAAAAATGTCGGTAAAACATTTTGATATTCTTAAAATAGTTCATTACATCGGTTTATCACCCAATAATACATTCTACAGTAGATATCGCTTGTGTGATATATTTCATAATCCACTGCGATATCTCCTTAGGAGATAACGCTTTACATGAATTTGATTGGTCAGTTGAAAAGGACCTACTTTTTTTTTGTTTTCAAAGAAAAGTTCATTTCTTATTAAAAGTAACTTTTTTTTAATTAAAAATGAACTATTGTTATTCAATTGACCTTGATGAAAACACTGGGTCAATATAAAGGACTTTGCAATGGTTGAATTGCTGTCAAAAAATGATGTATCACTACGCCGTAATGTTCTGTAAAAGTGAAATCTACAGCAAAGAATATATTTATCTATCTGTGCATGTAAGAAGGGATTGGGTGGTAAATAGAATTTCCTACTCGTCTTTTTTATATCAAAAAATATCAACACTCGTTGATAAAGTAAAAAAAACTCGGCAGAGTCTCGTTTTTTGTTACTTTATCGAAATTGTGTTGATATTTTTTAATATCAAAAAAGACTGGTAGGAGATTCTCTATTTACACGCGCCCAGAATTACGCGAAAAAGTCACATTTCGTAAACCAATCCCATTATTCTTAAAGTTATATAGATTTTAGCTTTGAATTTATCTGGGATTATCAGATCTAATTGCATTTGGGGTATGTACTTATTTAATAAGTAATGATGTCATTAATATGGGATTATCAGACCTGATTACATTCGGGGTATGTACTAATTTAATACATTTATATAATACTAATAACCTATTGTGTATTTAATTATAAGTTAACGCGATACATTGATGAAGTCAAACATGTGTCCGATATTTGCCACACCCACTATCCTGATCAAAACATCATTAAATACATTGTAATGTCGGCTATTTACAGATACGGCTGTCTGTGCAAAGTCGACCATCCTTCTCTATGCTTTCTATATAATAGCAACTACGTTAACCTCTTAAAGTGGGGTGGGGGCGAATGGTTAAAGCGTGTGCGTTGGGGCAGAAGGTCTGTCAATCAGTCAAATGGCGTGGTTTCGATTCCTGGCTCGTACCTGACAAGGAGTAGGATCGCCTGTCTAGCCTCATGGGTTTTCTCCGGGTCCTCCGGTTTCCTCCCACTGCTAAAGACCCATACGCACAAGCGAATTAATGAAATAAAATTGAACCATATGTTAGTCCCGAAATGACCTGGTTTGTGTCGAGTGGACATTAAACTCCATTTCTCTCACTCTCCCCTCCACCCGGTACCACTGAGAAAAATCCCGATGAACTTTCTAAACCAACAACAGGATAGAACCCCTATTGAGCCGCTGTGGTCCCAGAAGTTACGTTAAAAATATAAATATGTTTTTTAACAAACATTTTCCAGCGATAGTTTGAGAATGTTTTCTATCAAGCTAATTAAATTCGATTTCGTTTCGTATTTTTGTTTTCTTTTAACAAATATAATGAAGCGCAAATGGCATTAAAACGAAACGAAATTGGCTTCTTGGTTTTAATTTGGCGGGGTTTTCTATATAATGGTTTTCAAAGAATAATTAACAATAGTTTTGTTTTCTTGTTGCTAGGATAATGCTGATAATAACATCAAAATGAGGTTGTTTAGGATTACGTTGCCATTTCTCATTTAGCACGGATGTTGAATTTATCTGTGTTGAATCTGAATTTAACTAATTTTATTCCTATTTTTTTAAAGTGATTTTAAAAAATATGGAATAAAAGGATAGAATAATTATACGTCTCGAATTCTACTAAGTGTGTGGGTGTGGGGTTTTAAAGAGTCATTAACACTTCGTTGGTTCAGAAAAAAAATAATTTTCAAATTAACGGGATTTGACCACGCCAAACTCCATGTATTAATGTACGAAGATTGTATTATACAGTCCGAAAAACAGTCGACTGTTTCCGAAAAAGGGCGATTTTTCATATGACATATGTTTGCTCATATTCAGAACATAATTTGTGAATGACAGAGAGAGAGAAATGAGGTTTAACGTCCACTCGACACAAACTAGATCATTTCGGGACTAACACATGGTTCAATTTTATTTCAATCATTCGCTTGCGCGTAGGGGTCTTTAGCAGTGGGAGGAAACCGGAGGACCCGGAGAAAACCCACGAGGTTGGACAGGCGACCCTACTCCTTGTCACTTACAACCGGGAAATCGAAACCCGCCAGTTGACTCAATGGCAGACCGTATGATACAGCGCGCGCGTGCTAACCATTCGGCCATCCACCCCCCCCCCCCCTTGTGAATGATAGAAATATGCTGCACCGACTGGGCAAATGAATACGGACAGACGCCATACAGTGTGCTGTGAGGGGTCTATTACGTACATGAGACCTCCCGTTTTCGTCCCATCCGTACGACTATACGCTGTCCCTCGTCAGGCGCTTATAGTTCTTATATTTCAAAGCATTGTGCAATACGGTATAAGAAATGATAATCTGTATATATTGGTACGCGGGATGGTTTAATCAAATCAAACAAGTCCGTGGAACCAATCAAGTTAATCAAATTAATCAATTATTGAAATACGTCGATAAAATAAGGAATGAACTTTGATACATCCACAGATCATTGGGTAAATTTATCTTTTATAGTATCCAAGGCTCAAGATGCTTTGTGGTTGTCAAGGACGATAGAAAATAAACTTTCTAGGAATGATGACGGTGTTGCTAAATTTAATCGTTTGATCGAGATATTGTGGTTTGAATAAAATCTAAACTTGATATTTTACAATCAACCAGATTCAAATTAGGATGTCAACTACGATTCCTTTTATTTTTGTAGTTTAGCTGCATTTACTTCGTGCAAATTTTCTTAAAGTCTGTTTTCAAGACACGTGACTTAATTGGCCAATGAAATTGTCTGTATTAGTATACATTGAAGAGTTTTGTGCTGATTTAAAGGGATTTTAAAATCGAATGAAATGGAGTTAATTTAAAGTTCCAATTTTCTGCACCAACTGGGAAAATGAAGAGGTTCGTTCACGAGCCAAGCAGCGATGGGGGAATCCGTTTAAGAAAACGTAATGGGGTTTAACGTTCTACTGGGCCAATGAAGGTTGTGCTAATGAAGACGGGCATACACCATACAGTGTACTATAAGTGCCAAGGGATCTTTTACGTGTACGCCAACCTCGGTTTTTCGTCCCATCCTAATGACAATACGTTGTCCCTCGAAATATTTTTTTTTTAAAATAGTGGCGTTTGCGCCCGCTCTTCTTTAAATTCCAATCGCCAAGGTTTAAATTCAAGTACGCACCGGTGATTCTGATGGTAATCTTAAATCAGAAATGATTTTTTAAAACAAAAATTGACGTAAAATTATTTTTTAAAAACAAAAATCGACGTGAAATTATTTTTTAAAACAAAATTCGACGGGAAATTATTTTTTCAAAACAAAAATCGACGTGAAATTATTTTTTCAAAACAAAAATCGACGCGAAATTATTTTTTCAAAACAAAAATAGACATGAAATTATTTTACAATTACGTGTCTGTAATTTCGTTCCAGTATTCCAAATACAGAGGTTTGGAATTACATTCTTTTAACTACTAGTAACTATAAATTAAGATCAAGCACGCATCTGATCATTTTTTATGTGTATTGCTCTTAAATTGTCTTCTATTTTGTGCAATCCGATATGAATACAATTACGTGTCTGTAATTTCGTTCCAGTATTTCTATACGCCGGTTTGGAATTACATTCTTTTAATTACTAGTAATTACATGTATAAATTAAGATCTAGCACGCATCTGATCATTTTTGATGTGTATTGCTCTTAAATCGTCTTCTATTTTGTGCAATCCGATGTTAATACATATAGTTTTATATCTTATGGCGTACTTA